GTATTTAACTTTATAATGCTATAACTTATTGAAAAGTTTATGGATCCACACAATTTTTTTTATGAGAAATAATATTTTTTAATAAACCCTTTTTCATTCTTTATACTTTATACANTAAATAATATTTTTTAATAAACCCTTTTTCATTCTTTATACTTTATACATACTTTATCTTAATCGAGATATTAATAAGGAACCAGCAGATCAAGTAGCTTTTGGAATAAAACACCAATTTTTTTAAAATTAAACACTATCTAAAGATTTGCATCGAAGCGTTTATTTTTGATAGTGATTTTAATCACTGTCAGATATCATTTACTTGATCCAACTATGTCTCGTCACCACTGTGCCGCGACCCCCCTGTGCTGGGTTTTTTTGTGTCTGTCACTACTTTTTCTCAGCTCTCACTGGACCGATTTTTCTCAACGATACGTCAAAGATCATTAATCGTATTTAGTTGAAGACAATACCCTCAAGAATTGAAAAAGTTTGTAATTATATTAGGGAAAATTGTCGCATTAATAGTTTTATCATTTCATTTACACCATAGTTGGATAATCGAGGAGGTAAAGAGAACTTAGCCCTCAAAAATGAAAATTTATTTAAATTGTTATTATATGTTAGACTTATGAATTAATAGAATGAAAATAATTCTGGCTTCTTAAACTAATTAAAATAAATTTGCTACAATTAATTTGTTGTCTTTGGCAAATTTATTTTTAATTTAAAACTTCAGCAAATCTGCGAAGTTTAGAAAAAATCCAGCGTTTGCCTAACTTACTATGTTTCTGGCACTTACAGTGAGATATTTTTTAATATTAGGGACTATAAGCTAAGATTAAGTCTTAAGAAAATGTCAAAAAAATTGTTTTTGTTATATTTAAAGGTATAAATAATGTAAAGTTCAGCTCTAACCAAACGTAAACGTTAAACATTAAAATTTTAAGTCTGGCAATTTTTAATTGACATTATGGTGAGATGATGAACTTTTAGTAGCAAAGATTTTTTATAAAGTCAATGATATACTTGTAGGGCTGGCGTATTTATAGTAGGAAATTATGCGAATGATCCAGACGGTTCCATTATATAAATAAATGTAGCTAGTAGGGCAGGGCCATATTTAAAATTTAAGCGCTTAAATTTTGATTCTCTTAATTTTCTTCAGAGTTGATCTTTAAATAATATTGATGACCTAAAATAGCTTCAAAAATTTGTTCTCAATCATCATAAATTTTCATTAATCTTTAGTATCATTTTGTACTTATATTATATCAGCGCTTTAGCATACGATTATAAAATCGTACTCATATCAAAGTTATCAATTATTGTGAACCATTCATTTATTATATCCGTAACTCACTTCTTTAAATAGTCACTGAAATATCTGATGAAAAACTACTAATTTTAAATTAAGAAAAAAATTGTTTTATCATCGTATGTGTACGTTTCGCTCTTTAATATTAAAATGGATCCTTAAGAATTTTTCAGAGCATTGCATTGTTCGCTTGAGCCATCATTTAAATACGATCATGAGTAGGTGCGAGTGTCCCTGTTCTTGAATTTATCAGGATTGCTATGATAAATTTCTAAATATTATTATAGGGACTCATTCATTGGAAACATATGCCTGAACTCAAATATGAGTTAAACTGACACAGTTAAAAAACTCAACTTTATCGATTAGTTTAAGTTATTTTTAAGAGAGCCTGTAAATGATGAAACACGTAGCAGACGTGGTAATACATCGTTGTATAACTAGAAATAAAATACATTTTTATAATTTCATCAATAAAATTATAAAATAAAAAATATTGCAATCAAAATTTTTACTAGACCATTCGAAAGGGACATAGAAAAATTTTACTGATCGATAACAACTTGTTCTGAATAGTTTAAACTTCTTAAATATAATTGAAACATAGCTTAGTCTCGTCATATTTCTTATGTTACTAGCAGTAGATCACTTGTTAGTGTCAATAAGATTTTTTATCTCCTCATGAGAATATAAATAACATATAAATAATATAAGTTATATAACAAAAAAATATATTGCTTCATAATAAACATAACATATAAATATACAAAATAGGTCTCGACAACAAGACGCCGGCTTCTTGTTTATATACATGAAGAGTGATTCATTTATAAACCATATAATTAATAGAAAAAGAAAAATATTATTAATAATTTTTTATTGATTTCTTTTAATTCAATGGTTCTCTCGATTTATCAATCATAAAGTATTTTTTATGTTCAACCCTTATAGGGGTGTTAATTTTAATTTACAATGGCATCATACATAACTATATTATTATATTAGTATTATTAATACACAATATTTGTGTGTAAAACTGCGAATTGAAAACTTCTATACAGATTTAGTTTGAGGTCAATATTTTCATCAATTATTTTATTTGATTTTACTGTGATAACATTATCTTTAATAAAAAACCGTTATGGTTCTTTTAACGGTTTTCTTATTGTGCTCAAATCCATATCCTTCGGTCACGGTCGCAATATTTCCTTTATGTTTAAACGAACCCTCTTTTTACATCTTCCTCAGTCTTTGTTAAACTAGTATTTTTTGGCGCTTCTTATTTCTCATTCTGTGTCAGTTATTGAACTTTTATTTAATTGTTTATGTATCGTTTTATCAATAAAATTATTTTAAACTAATTTTGTATTTTTAATTATTAAACGTATAAACATAATTTTTAATTCTTATTTTTAAAAACCATGTCATTTATTAAAAGTAAAATTAAACGATTTAATGAAATACCAAGTAAGACAAAACTGTTAATTTAACATATAATATTTTTTTATTAAATAACAATTTTATCATTAATTACAAATTATTACTTCCACTGATAATCATGATATATTATTAAGGTTGTGCTCCGCCACCTGGAACATATGATCCGAGAAGCCCTGGCCCTAAAAGAATAAAAGGTCATAAGATTAATACTGCTGAAAGGTTTAAGAAACCTTCTGGATTGCAAGTATGTTTTGTGTAGAGATAATGTTTGTGTATGATACATAATTAAATCTTTTTTTTTTAACTGACCAGTTAATTTGTGTCATGTAACTTTTTTTAAATTTTTAGAATCCTAAAAAAAAAATTTAAATAGAAGAAATTTTTTTAATAGACTTATGTTTTTGAAATCAAGATAAATCTTTACAGCTTAGTCTAAAAAAGTTAAACCAGTGTACTTTATAATAAAACAATAATTTTAAATATTTAGGTGTCGCTATTATTCGAAATACCATTATATTCATTGAAATCTGTGTAGTGTAATCTTTGTTAGAATTATTAGCAAAAAACAACTTAACATTAATTACTAGTTCTTTAAGGTACTTATTTAATAATTTAGTGTCTTAGGGAAATGCCAAAAAGATTAAAGTTTGGTAGTTAGATTTAGTAGTAATTTAAATAGATTTTTAATAGTTTTTTTTTTTTATCTATTTAATTTATAATAAATTAATTACTTTGTTGATAATTTTGTTTTAGCCTAAGTCAATAACTGTCAATACTACATTTAAAATTCCTTCGAATTTCAGGTAATTAATCAATTTCAAAAATTAATATTTTTTTCTATTATGGAATATAGTAGAGTAAATATAAATGAATTGGGTGATTGAATCAGTCGTTTCAGAAATAAGACAAATCCAAAAAATATATATATCTTTATTTTTGATATTTGGATTCCTCATATGTAATGAAATATTTTGAGAAGTTTCTGACTTTTCGATAATTTGACATAGTGAGTAAATATTGAGGAATCAAGAGAAATTCACTAGTCCTGAACATATCAGTGTTTTTATTGATTTTCAATATTTGGGATCTTGGGATTTGTTGGTGTTCTGAAGTGACTGATTTAATTGTATATACATTTTTTGAATAAAGAACTTATGTTTATATTTTTAAATTACAATTACTATTAGGTATTTACTAATTTAAATAATAGAATATTATAAGAAGAACAATATATTTATAATTTTAATTTTTTTATGTTTACTTTAAATTCAAAATTAGTGGTGTATTAAAAAAATTGTCATGGGGTCTTAATGACTTTCCAAAGTTAAAATAGTAGCTTACTCATCTACTACCCTATTGTATTATATTTTTATATTGTATATAGAATTTAGATTCTAATGACGTTTCCTTGCAAAAATTTGTGCAATTATTCACTGTAACCATCTTATATATTGTGACCATCATTTTAAAAAGTGGTCAAGTGATTTTTTTTTTTTAGCTCTTAAATATATAAAAACAAATAAAACTTTTATATTTGTCAATATTTCTCATAAAAATTGAATATTTATAGTCAATTTAAGAGTTTTTAAGCCTATATATTATTATAATAAATTATAAAGTTTTAATTTGATAACATTTCACAAGATGTAAATGATACAAATTTGATATATATATATATATATTAAAGAATAATTTCACACTTGGGATTAATAATTTTTTGTAATGATTACTTTATACTTGACTTTTCTTTCTTAATTTTTAGTTCACAAAGTTCGATTTATACTGAATGTTCAAAAAAATCAAAAAAAAGTTTGACTTCTAAAAATATGATTAAAAATGAAATTGAAAATCAAAACCAACCAGAAAAACCAAATTTTGGATTAATTAAATATGATATAGAACAAGTAGATTGTAAAACTGAAAGTTCCAATAATAAATGTAATAACTATTTCCAATTATGCTATAAGATACATGAACAAACTACACAAAATCAAGTATGCAAAGTTGTTATAGAAAATTCACAGGCTGCATTGCATGCTGTATGTCAGCGTCTACGTGATACGTGTGATGAAAATGAGATTTTGCGTAATGAATCTGCTAAGTTAAGGGAAGAAATAGGAGATATTAAGTGTTTTGAAAAAATAGCTGCTGAACAGATTGCCATTGTTGAGGAAAATTTGATAGATAAAGTCAATAATTACATGAATATTGCCAAAAATGTTAAAAATAATTGGTTGAATAAGATAAAATTTATATTGACTGCTTTGGATCAACTAGAAAATATGGTTGGTGATGAAGTTAAACAACTAATACAGAAACTTAAAATTGATATTGAATCAGAAAAGTATGATAATAAAGAACTTGGTTATACAGATCTTTTAAAAAAATATGATATGTATGTACTTTAAATTATATTAACATAATCAATTTTTTTTTATATATTAATTCCTATATTTTTAGTTTAACTGAAAAAAATAGTCAATTAGAAGAAGAGTTAGAGAAAAAAGATGATTTAGAAAGAAAAATTATTGAATTGACAAATGTAAGTATCATCATTTCTACTTAAATAACTTAACAAAAAAAATCTGAATCAACAGTTAAGAGTTTTTGAATATGTTAAGAAATTTATATAAATATCTAGAAAAAATACAATTTTAAATTTTCAAAAACCATTATATCATAAATTTATTTTATTTACTTTTATGTATAACTTTTTTTTCCCTGTATTTATTAGTAATGAGGTAAGTATGTAATTTATTTACTGTGTATCTTAGATGTCCAAGTTAAAAAAGGTTTTGTATTAAATTAATAATAAAGTAAATTTCTTTTAAAATCTTAATTTTTTAATTTTCATAACTATTAGTTGTTTATATGTAATATATATTTTAAATAGCTATTTCATTAAAGAATCTTTTTTTTTTTTTTTTTAGGAAAAAAATGACTTGGTGGCTAAATTACAAAATAATAAATCTAGGCTTAATATACCGTGCAAAAATAGATTGGATGCGTTAGCAACTCCTCGTCGTCGTGCTGATATTGAAAATATTGCACCTAAAAATAAAACTTATGTACTGAAAAGTAATACTTTAAAAACAACTAAACCTGTTGCACAATCATCTCCTTTAAGAGAGAAAAATTGGTAATAAATTCTATTTAATTACCATTTAAATTACATTTTATTTTGTTTGTACTTATTTATTCTTTTTTATTATAAGATTATGACATTATTTTTGTAGTATTATAATAAAAAAATTTTATTTGTTTCACTATTTACTAGTGAACTTGGCTTTTGTACTACTATTATCACTAGCATCAAACAATTTTCATTTTTTATAATAAAACATTATTTTGATGTAATTAATCTTTAATATATATTTCTAACAGCTATATTTGAAAAATTGCTAACTAGAAACATTTTTATTCCTATTAAAACTTCTTTCTATAAAATTTGCTGCTAAATATCTTTATCTATTTACAAGTTCAAACTTTCAGAACTTGAAGACTAGATAATTTTTGATATATTGTAGTTTAAAAAAAAAACATTTTTTATGCAAAACCCCCTAAGAAAATTCCTAAATATACCACTATTTTAGGGATTCTCAAAAATTTATACTTTCATTTACTTTGAAAAAGTAATATAATTACTAGTCCTTTACTTATTTTTACATTTTGTCAAATTAATTTACAATTAAAATGATAATAAGTTACTTTTCAAATTATTTTTTATCTGTGGTGTGATAAAAAAAAAAACAATATCTAATTTCCTCAAAAATGTTGTTAATGCTATACATTTATTATATATAAGGGGGGTTTCAACATGTTCTGACCTCTATTTGATCATATTTCACAATAATTTTTTTTAAATTTATGATTTCTTGGACTACATTAAAATTATATTTTTATTATTTCTTCTTAGTAATAAAAAACTAATTTTTTCAAAATTTGTTATATTTTAGCCCTTTTTTTTTACAAAGTATGTTGATAGATTTATAGAAATTATTAGATAAGTACTTATTAAGTCACAAGCATTTAAATACATATATCGAATATGTTATGCAGGTGGATACAGTTAATATAGATGTATATTTATTATGCATAATTCTCATAATTCATTAACTATTATTTAATAAGAAAAAAAAATTTCTTGAATAAAATATTGTATTTATCATTATTTATTTGATAGTGATGCATTGGTAACTTGATATTACTTAATAAGTGTAATAAAATGATTAGATACTTGAAAGTAAAAGTATTAAATACCTACATTTATTATAGAAAGTAACAACATTACAGTAATGAGTAATTTTAGTGACTTTACTTCTCAAGATTGATTAATATAGTATGAAATATGAAAAATATTAAACATAGACTAAACATCAAATATATTACTCGGATCATAAACAATTTTTTATTTTAAATTTGAGAAATTATTACAGTCACTCAAATTTCAGTTATGGTCTACTTAAGTAAGTCTTAAAGTTTTAAAAATTTAAACCCTTGTTGAAGTACTGTTGTATACTTTTAGTTTGGTTTTGGTTACTCTTCTGTATAAATAGCACAGACAGTATGCTGCTGAAAAAACTATGTACTGTATTATAGAAAGAAAAAATATATATTTAAAATTAAAATTGATGAAAATTTTTTAAAAGAATATTTAATGTAAACAAAAATATAACAATTCAGTAGAAAAACAAACAGGATTATATATTTTTTAAATTCTTTGTCGATAGGACTTTAAAAATTAAGATATCTTGCCAATTAAGTAGAAAATAAAATATTGCTGCTTAGAGTTATTTAACAAATTTATTTTGACAATTGAAAATCTTTTACTTTTTATTTCTTTGGTTCAGTTTTATGTTATAAAATGACAAATTTTATAAATAAAACAATTTTATTTTAAAACAGTTGGAACTATATAAGAATACATACAAGTTTAATATACTTTACAACTATTTACAATATAAAAAAGTAATCCTTCAATATTATGAAGAGATGTAAACAGTTAATTGTAAACAAAACAAATGCATACATTAATTTTATCAATTATTTAAAACATGCTGTACAAGATTTATATAGAAAATAAATTAAAACTGTACATATAATTTTAAAATCTACTAATTGAGCGTTCCTCTACAATAAGGAGTACCACACAGACAAGGTATTTTATTTTCCTCAAGCGGGAATTTATAATCATATGTGATCTCTTCATTTACTCCAATTGGCTGCTTGCTGTATATAACAATTTTCTTCTGTCCTTCAATTTGTATAATTTTAGCATAACAATTTGGCTAAAAAAAATATGGTGTTAAATATGAAATCATATATATATATATTGTAAACATTTTTAGTAGTAATAAATATAATATAAATCTTTAACTATTACCTTGTAATTATATTTTAGCTTACAACTTTATTAAATGATGAAATATGTCTACAGCACAGTATGTGTTTAGTATTAATAAATATGTATCTGCGATTTTTTGTAATTTTTGTGGCTTTTCAGTTAAAATTTTTTAGTTTTAATTAATATTATTAGTATGTCATTGAGGTAGAAAGATAGATACAAAGTAAGATAGGTACGTGGAATGTTGGAACATTAACTGATTGAAGTAGAGAATTAGTAGAAGTATTGAAGAGGAGAAAAATTAATATTTGTTGAGAGTAGGAAACTAAATGAAAGGAAGAGAAAGCAAGGAAAATAAATGAGTTATAAAACAATATACTTAGATAAGACCAATACAAAGAAATGGAGTAGGGATAATAATGGATGAGGAGATTAAAAGTAAAGTAGTAGTAGTTAGGAAAAGTAACAGAATTATAATTAAAATTCATTTTGAGGAAAAGATTGTAAAGTTATCCCAAGCGAGAGTGTAAAAGAACAATAGGAGAGAAGATTGGATGTAGTATAAATGCTTGTAAATAGGCATATTGGCATAAGGTGGTTGATGGATCTTTTTAATAATATCCTATTAGAAAGAAAAATACCAAAAGAATGGAGGAATAGTATTGATATTTAAAAGCAAAGAGATATACAGGAGTGTGGAAATTATAGAGGAATAAAGTTTGAGTCATAGTATAGGAGAGGTGGAAAGTTTTAAGTATTTAGGATCAGTTGTGCAAAAAAACGGTGGTAGTGATGCATGGATCAGTGTTGGGGGGTTGACAAGAGAATAGAGCAGATAATGAGTGTACCAGAGAATGCTTAGATGGATGAGTGGAATGACTAGAGAAAATAGGATAAGGAATGAAAATATAAGAGGGAGTATAGGTGTAGTGTCAATCACAGATAAGATAAAAGAAAATAGACTTAAATGGTTTGGTCATGTACGAGGTATGTCAAAAAAGTTCCCGGACGACGTTTCGTGTGCGCTGTGTAGTAGCACTGCGTCGGAAACAACTATGCAGTCTCGTTCCTACAGCTATCTTGTATCAGTATACAAAATTTCAAGTCGATCGGTCGCGTTTAACTGTATTTAAAAAAATAATTATAATAAGTTGTTTGTGCCTTGTGCCGATTTTTTGAAAAATGGAAATCGATAAAAAATTAGAGCAAAGAATCGTGATCAAATGTCTCGTGAAATTGGGCAAAACAAACGCCGAAATTAAAAATATGTTGTCAGCTGTATATGGTAAAGATACGATAAGCCGCACAACGCTGTACGAGTGGATTAGTCGGTTCAGAGAGGGGCGAGAGGCAGTGACTGACAACGCTCGCGAAGGCAGACCACAAACAGCGCGCTCGACCGAAATGGTTGCAAAAGTGAAGACTAAAATCGATGAAGACCACCGAAAAACGCTGAGAGAAATCGCTAGCATTGTTGGAACATCGCACGAGAGTGTGCGTTCAATTTTACGGGAGGATTTGAATTTGTGAAAGGTGTCTCCACACATGGTTCCGCGAGTGTTGACGGACGATCAAAAACGAAACCGCGTTGAAATCTGCAGGGACTGGCTGGAAGCTGAGGAGAGCGACAACATTTTGTCTCGAGTAATCACAGGTGACGAGAGTTGGATTTTTGAGTATGACCTCGTCAAAAAACGGGCTGACATGATGTGGCTAACACCTGATGAACCAAGAGTAAAAAAAGCGCGCAAAAGCAAATCAGAAGTGAAGGTGATGGCCACTGTTTTTTTCGACTGCCGCGGCGTGGTACTCCTGGAATGGACTCCAAAGGGTCACACAATCACTGGACAACCTACCTTGAGACTATGCAACGTTTAAGGGAGCGCATAAGGAAGAAGAGGCCAGAATTGTGGAAAGACAACTCTTGGGTTCTCCATCAAGACAATGCGCCAGCACACCGGTCCTTCATTGTGCAAGATTTTTTGACCAAAAACCAAACGACAGTGCTACCACATCAGCCCTATTCACCGGACCTTGCACCCTGTGACTTTTTTTTGTTTGATAAACTGAAAGATTTGATGAGGGGAACACATTTGGGGGGTTTGGAAGAGATCAAACAAGAATCGGCACGGCTACTGTACAGCATGCCACAAAATGACTGGCAAAAATGTTTCGATAACTGGAAAAAAAGAATGCACCAGTGCATTAGTGCCAGGGGGGGATACTTTGAAGGGGATAAATTTATTGTAACTTAATTTTTATAATAAAGCACGTTTTTCTCCAGTGTCCGGGAACTTTTTTGACATACCTCNTAGTGTCAATCACAGATAAGATAAAAGAAAATAGACTTAAATGGTTTGGTCATGTAATAAGAAGAGAGAAATGTAGTAAGAACAGTTATGGAAATGAATGTTAAAGGAAAAAGTGGTAGAGGAAGACCAAAAAAAGAGATGGAGGGATGTTATTGAATGCGATATGAGGACCGCTGATGTGTGTGTAGATGATGTGGGAGATTGTGTCAAGTGGAAGTTTAGAATATGGGTGGCCAATTCGTAATGAAGAAGAATACAAGAATGAAATTAGTAATACTGTAGAACCAAAATATTTTTGCAATTCTGTTACTATATTTGTATTGTTATGAATTTTCATTTAGCTTTTATAATCAAAGAAAATAGTATTAGAGTTGAGTGAGATAACTTAAAATATTTCACACTACAAAAGAAATTTTTACAGTACAAAACCCAAATTATCCCCAAAGTAAACTAATGAATTACTCTATTTTAATACAATTTATAAGAATACAAACATTAGATTTTATTTTATAATAAAGCTTAATTTTAACCATGATAAGGTTAAAACAATGATATTTTTAAGGTCAGATAATATTGATAATATTAACAATATCTTAATTTATTAGTAACTTATACAGAATAAATGACTACTAATTTTTCCAATAAATGATTTTTTTTGCAGAAATTACTTACTACATTTAATAATAATCTTAAGTAAACACCTTATGAGGATTAATATAAATAAAATAAAAGTCATGGTAGTAAGTAAAAAGAGCAGAGTCGTTCATTTAATTTTTTAATTTAATTATATGGGGGTCAAATTTAATATTAATTTTTCTACTGACAGATTTTAATCTAAATTAATTCCCAAGTACCTAATTCAAATAGTATTAAAATTTTATCAGTGTATAATTTTCTGAATCTTTTGTTTAATACTTACATTACAACTATGATTAATAAACCTTGCTAGATTTCCACATTTTGTAGCATCAATTATAGTATCCAAATCTATTCTAAACAAATATGAGCTACCTATTCCTGTAGCCTCATATTGACGCTCTCTTAAATCAGCTACAACAGGTCTAACCATTTGACCTACATATTCAATCACCATTTCATCTGCTGCAATAGACTCCATTGCAAATAATCCCCAGTCGTGAATAGCAGATTTACCAAATTTCAATTGCTTTTTACGGAATTTCAATACATTAAACTTTAATAAATCACTGTCTGATGTGGCTCCAAATGCTGTAAGCAATCTACGCTGATTGCTACGTGCTTCACGTGAAAGTGCTAACATTTTGCCAGTTGATTCTTTGACTCGTTTAAGTTCTGCGATACGATTTAATTGTGATATTGTATGGCCAAAATGATACTGAAATAACAAATTAATAGTAGCATTTTTAAGAAGTTCTACATTTTTATAAGCTAAACATTATTTACCTTATGATTAGCTTTTTGTTTACTATCTAATTTATAGTAACCTTCTGTTCTCGCACATCCAGTTTCATGAACTTTCCAATCATCTTTTTTCTTTTTTCTAGGAAGCTGATTTGGCAATGATGTCAGTATATTTCAATTAAAGAAATTTTTTAGCAAATAAATAAAAAAATTATTTGTATAAAAAAATAAAACTATCAAAAAGTTTTATGAGATTTGTTTAGTTATATTTCTTTTTAAATTTTAATAGCTCGTAAGGCCATATTTCAAAATAGCATTTTGAGATAACTAACCACTAAGTTTTAAACTCTTATAAGAGTTAAATAATGTGATAATTGCTTTTAGCATTTATGAAACAAATTAATTTTCAAAAATGGAGCCTGCATCATAAGACATGGAATAATAGAAATAAATGAGTTATTATAAATTATTATATATATTAGAAATATATATTTTGGTTTGCAAGTTTGCAAATCTGTTAGTACAATATTATAATCAGGACTATAAATTATATGCATTTATAAATTTTGTTAAGATAATCCAAGCACACCATCAGCCAGTACAATTTTTGTGTGACTTAAAAGTTTAGTAATACGTTTTTTCCAATGTTATTGTTTTGAAAAGATTATGGGGGTTAAACAAATAATATTTTAACATTAAAATATAATCCTACGACATATTTGCACAAATTTGGGACCCTTCATAGTAACTAAACAATATTTAAAAATGCATATAATTCATAGACTAGATTTTAATATAAAAAAACTTGAATTTTCATTCAAGTTTATTTAAACACTAAAAATTTGAATGATATAATAAATATTTTATAATATATATTATATTAGATAATTTTGAGTCTCTGACAATGCCTAAAATTTATACTGCAAAAATAAATATTAAAAAAAAAAAATGTAATAAAAAGGATATCTGGATGGCTAACCCAATGAGTTTCATTTAACCAATAGTGAACAGAATCATTCACTAACAATGATTCATAACTTTGTTTCAAATAATTTATATCTTCCATATCTACACCCTTGGTAAGAAACTCAAAGAGAACGGTTGCTTCTTGAACCATATCACGCCTACTAAAATATTTTGTTTTGACTTGATTATCACGATGTTTTTGTACAGGAAGTTGGTCTACAGGTTCTATCATGTTGTTATCTCTAATGGTAAGTGGTTTTTTGGCTTTCCTTGATGATTCAGATAATTTCTTCTGTTCATTATTAGGAATTCCACTTCTAGGTATTTCAGTGGAATCCATTTCAATTTCCCACTCAGGAATAGGTGGAGGACTGTAAACCTCCTGAGGCATACAATATGAATGATCTGCAACTATTCTACTTTGATTATCTTCAGTATATGATTCTCCATTTATTAGACGTTTCTTAGTTTCCACTTGTTCACTTGAAGAGTCTTTAGATATTTTTCTCTTAATAGCCTTTTCATCACGTTTGAATTTAACAAATGATCCTTCTTCATCTGAGCTTGATAATGTATCAATAGCCATAGGAGTTTCTCTTCCAGGTGGTGTTAACTCTCTAAAAATTAAATGTTCATAATTAATAATTAAGTACAAGTTTTTAAAATCATAACAACAATGAATTATTATAAAATATTATAAAAAAAGTATACCTAACAAAATCAAAATCTTCAATTGACATTGATTTGCATAGTTGCTTTAGTTTTGTTTGCCATGCAAATCCTTCACAAGAGTCTTCATCACTAGAGCTGTTTTCACTGGACTCTTCATCATCCACAGATGAATGTGGAGATTGATCTGAGGTAGATGAATTACTATCACTGTCAAATAATTCTCTTCCCAAACGTTTACGTTCAGCAAAAGTAGGTCTAGTAACTTCATCATCATTCACCTAAAAAATATAATTGAATTAGAATGAAAATAGAAATTTATATTATGTTAATTTTAATTACATCATTTCCTTCATTATCTGAAGTTATAACCATTTCTTCTTTATCACTACCATTATCATCTTCTTGATTTACTTTTTTGGGAGAAGGTTCCTTAGTTTTTCTCTAAAAGCAGTATCAGTAGATTAAAAAAAAAAAAAATCAATAAAGTAGGAATAGTGCATAGTGGATCCCAGTATAGTATTGAAATCTGATTAATTTTATTTTCAATAGGAATTTTTGGATTATGCCAAATTTGGCATTAACTCATATTTTTAAAAATATATTTTAGTTCAATAATAAAGCTTTAATGTCTTAAAGAGATAAAAAATTATTTTTATATTAATTTTATATATTTTAATATTGATGTTTAATAATATATAATTGTAGTTAATACAAACAAATTGTAAAAAATAAAAGAAAATTTCAATTACTCTGACCTTTATTAGTTAATTTATAATTTCTTTAAATATGATGGATGACCAATAAAAACAATATAAGTTCTTGGTGAAAATATAAACAAACTAACACTTTTTTTTTTTTTTGAATAATATACAATCTATTACAAGTTAGAACAACAAGCATATATGCCATGATTCCAGTTGATTATGATAGGCATGAAAAAAGATAATTATCCAATGAAATAGTTTCTAGTTATGAAAAAGAATCAATTTTATTTTTTTAATTTAGGAAATCTTAGCTCCAATTATGCATAAGTCGTCTCCCTGGGTTTCTAGGAATGTGTTTTTTGTATAAGTTAGCTATTATTGAATTTTCATATTTTTGTAGTTTGTTGTAGAACTGTAAATAACTTTATTTAGCTTTATCAGTTTTTTAGGATTTTTAAAACACAGTAGATAGATTCAAAGGAGATATATGGTAAAACTTTTAAAATAGTTTTTCATATTTTGATTTGAAAAATTTGAATTTTATTTATTTAAATTATTTTTCCAAATTTTAAGGCCATAAATAACTAACACTTTAAACCTTTTTAGCTTCGATGCGAAGCTGAAAAGGTATTAATGTTACTATGATTAAAATTTCCTCGTTCCCCGTAAATGGGGGAAACCTCCAAAAAAATTACAAATTTAAAAATCGTTAATTTTGGAAATTTTTTTTACTTAAAACTGCCATAACTTTTTAAAAAAGGAACTTATCAATTTTTTTTTATAGATACTCGATGTGTTTACCTATCATTTGGTATATTTTTTTTTATAAATCTGACCCTTTACCTGACCACAGAGGGGGATTTAAATGACAACTTTTTCACAAAAAATTAACTTTTTCAACTTAACTTTTGAAAGTGTTCCAAAAAGTAACTTTTATATATATCTTATGTAAAAGACACTTTTATATATATCTTAAATTAAAGCTAATGTAAAGTACTTTATTATGGAAAAAAATTTTTTGATCTTCACGGTGAAAATAGCTACCAAATGCTATTTTTGTGTGAAAATTCTCGATTTTATATTTTACATTTTTAACTTTAAAATGCTATAACTTTTTAAAAAATGTATGAATCAATACAATTTTTTCATGAGAAGTAGTATTTATATATCTTATATACATATAATCTTTCATTCGACATACTTTATCTTAATCAGGATATTAATAAGGAAATAGGAGATTATGTAGCTTTTGGAATGCTACACCAATTTTTTAAAATTAAACACTATCTAAAGATTTGCATCGAAGCGTTTTTTTTATAGTGATTTTAATCACTGTCAGATATCATTATGCTTGATCCAATTATGCCATGTTACCACTGTGCCGCGAACCCCCTGTGCTGGGTTTTTTTTTTACAATGGAGGTTTCAATAGTTCTTGCCCCCCCTTATAAATGTTTATATTGATTTACCTAAAGTAAAGTAAAGCAAAAAACTATTTATTAATACAAATGGAAAAAAAAAAAAAAATTGAAGTAGAATATTATAATTAAATATGTAATAATTAAAGCCATTTACATATAGCAGAAAAATTATTGAAACAATTTTTTTTTTATTTGTAGTACATTATATTCATTTTTATTTAAAAAATAAAGGAATTTTGGAAATTTTAAAAATTAAGTTAAAAAAGTTCTATTTTTATACATATGTTTTGATTTCTATTGTATAATAGGAAATAGTGCAATTAAAAAAAAAAGTATAACATATGATAAATATATATCATTATATAAGTACTAATAAACAAATTTTAATAATCATAATGATAATAAATTTATTTTTCAAAAAGTTATAGCAATTTAAAGTTGAAAAGCTAAAATCAAGAATTTTAACACAAAAATAGCATGTTTTTTAACTACTTTATTTTTTATATGCAAATTGCATATAAATAAAAAGGCATGGAACAATTTTGTTTTTTAATTTATAGAATGTATAAGCTTTAATGTAATGTTTAAAGGATGAATTAATTCCAGAAAATTTTCAAAAGTTAATTTTTCTTGTAAAATTTGCTACATTGAATCCCTCCCTGTCAGCAGAAAAAGGTCTAAAATTATATATACCTAAATTATTTATAAACAAATTGTTTTAATTCATCCATTTTTCAAAAAGTTATAACATTTTTAATTAAAATGTTTCAAAAATATCAAAATTTGAAAAATTTTTGGTTAATTTCCTCAATTAAGAAGAACGAGGGATATTTTTTAGTTTTAAAGGAAATGTCTTTAAAAAATCAATTTGTAATCTTTTGATGTATCGTTAAATAAAATGAGTACTATCAGAACTGAGAATAAGTGGGAATAGACACAAAATAAAAAAATATACCCATCATAGTACAATTAATACCTTCTCAGTTTCGTATCAAAATTAAAATGTGCATAAGAAAGAATATTTTAAAAACTTACACGGAATGATGGCATTTTGGGAATTGCTGCTCTAAATCCAAGACCTAACCCACTTAGAGCTAATGTCTCCAATCCTTCAGTTCCAGCTTCTAAAATACTGTTTAAGTTAGGCGCAGGATGAATAGACTTAAGCTCTTCATTTGTTACATTAGTAGTCTGAAAAGAAAAGAATCAAAATGTTTTATCACAACTTATATTTTATAAAACAATTACTTTTGACTGTCTTTCAGCATCTTCCCACCATTGGTCTAATGCATTAAAAGCAACAGTTGTACCCATCTTCTTCATAAGATCTCGCTTGATTATTATTCTCAATTCATCAATAACAGCTCTCATTAATTTTCTAATTCATATAAAAATAAAATAATAACTAAAAAAAATTTTGAAATTTTATAAAACCTCACTTTCTAATTTCAGCCGGGAGATCTTTATTTTCATGTCTGTCTGGTCGTTCTTGTTCATAAAAATTTCTATTAGGTAATGGAGGACCATAATTATAATGAGGTTGGTAAGGAAGATATTGATATCCATAATGGTTATTGAACTGAGGAGGATAATAGTAACCTTGAGGAGGATAATTTGGTAAGGGAACATACTGAGGCATAATATTAATGTTAGGGTCATTTTCTACAATTTTTTCGTCGCGAGAAGATAAACTGGACAAACTCATTGCATCATCTGGTGTATTACCTTTAGAAGTTTTTCCTAACATTGCTTCATCATCACTAGAACTAATATCACTATGAATAGAATCGTGCATTGTTTTATTGATCACTAAAATAAATAAAATAAAATAAATAATGATGTATTTTTAAATATTGGATTTTTTTACCATTTCTTATTGTATTATTTAAGAAACTTTTTGCTTCTAATTTTTCTTTTTCTCTTGTTGCTTTGAGCTGTTCAACAGCCATTTCAAAACACTTTATATATATTTCTTTGGAAAGAAATGGTGAGGGTGGATTAGAAAGAGGTGGTAACACTTCATCATCATTGCTAAGTTTTTCTTCATCTAGATCAGATGGTATGTCATTCACTCCTGGTGGCAATGGTAGACTTATTCTTAAATTTTCATCATTAATATCAGTAGAAGCTTCAGGAATATCGTCAGGTTCTTTCTTCACAATAGATAAGAATGCAGGCTCAACACTAGCACCTTGAGAAGACATCCCACTAAGAAGCATTGCAATTCTCGTATCCAAATCTAATTTTGATTGCGCTTCAGAATCTAACTTTGGCGCAGGTGTTGTGGGTAATGGAGGAAGTACAGGACTAGATTCTCCCCACCAATGATTGTTTGGAACAGGAGGAATGTTACAGGGGTATCTAATTAAAAAAAATAAATTAATATTATTAAATTTCATTATCTATATTATTTTAAATTAGTATAAGCTCTGCTAGTGTATACAAAATAATTTTTTTTAATTGCTTGGAGGTTTTTGAGAATGATATAAAATCAAATACTGGAGAGGAATAACAAGTACAATAATTTAGCAAATATCATTCTCAGTAAACAGAATCGGTAATGACAAGTGATAGTCAGGCACTACCACAATACTGCATTTTTTGATGTAGGTTAGAACTCAAAATTATTTTTTTTATATAATTTACACATTATAACAAATTTTAGTGCATATGATACAAGCTATAATGTACAGTGTATTAAGGAAAAGCTTTTACATAGCAATTTTTTTACACTACATATTTTAGCATATATTGTATTTTAGCATTTAAATTTTACACTTTAATAATAAGTGATGTATAATACCTGTTTTTTAAATGGTTATTTATAGCTCAGATAACAAAACAATATTCTAATAAATTAAATTCTTATCTAGAACTTTTACATACCTATTATAAGGATATGGATAAGTTCCATTATAGGCGGGCGTACCACTAATACTATTATAACCACTACTGTAACTTTGTTCAGATGGAAGATCACTGGTAGCTGGTGAAGGAGTGTATTCATAGTTAAAATTAGTATAATTTTCAGAAATAGATGAAGGTGGTTTATCCTCTTTTGTTATTCCAGGAGATTCATCAGTAGGTTTGACTATTTTAATTATCCGCCGATCACGATTTGAAATAATAGGTTCTTTTTTTTTAAGTATTTCTGGAGGAGGAGGTTTTGGTTTTTCTTCAGTTAACTTATCAAACATAACTTTGCATTCTGCAGCTATTTAAACAAATTCATAAAAAAGTTAAAAAATGTAACTCTTATATAAAAAAAAAATATATTAAAATATTTTTTATTTTACCAAATGGATCTAAAAATACATTAACAACTTTCCCCATAACTGATGATTCATTTAAACGCTGAACACACATTTTAGCTCCTGATGGCTCTTCAAAAACAATTTTTGCCAAGCCTAAATGTTTTTTTGTAACTGGATGGTAAAAAATTTGTATCAATTGTATTTTTCCAAATTTAACTACCTAAAATAAAATAAAACAATTATTTTATAAACAAAGTGGTTATTAAGCTTTTGTTAAATCTATATTATATTTGTTATTATATGATGCAACTTTATCTAAGGGAACCTTATATAACTGAGTTAATAAGATAGTGGTGTTTTACATACTTACTTTTGCTATTTTGACAATATCAGGCAAACCCATCCTAATTAAGAAATTAGCCTGGTAATATCAATATGGCCAAAGATTAACTAACAATCTCAGGCTAATTTTTAAATGAAAATTTAAATATTAGTTTTAAAATATAACAAATATAAATAAAAAATATTTTATAGCCTGTGATGAAGCAAACACTTAATGAAAGTAAACTTTGATGTCTTTTAATATTTATTTATTTAATTTTTAAATCTTAATTCTTACTATTTTACTTACCAAATCTGTAAGAAAAACTTTGTCAATATTGTCATTCAAATTAGAAAATGTTACTTCAACTTCTGGTCGTTGACCAATATAATTCTTATCAAGCTAAAATTATTAAAATAGAAGTATAATTAATGTAACTTAAAAATGAATATTTTTATCAAATTTAATAAATAAAGATACAAAAGTCAATATATTATATTTTTTATCATATATCTAATAAAGCTAACCAAAATTCAGTTACCTTAAACTTAGGCACTGTAAGTTCAACTGGGAGGGTAATAGTTTTAGTTTTTGATTTGTTTATTCGAGGATCCTGAACAATCACATCTGGTTGAGATGGATCATTTGGTACAATACCATCGTACCTGTATACTTTAGTAGGTGCTTTAGTAAGAAATGGATCAACTATAAGCTTCCAATTACGCTCCCTAGGTTTTTCAACAATTGGTACAACTGGTGGTGGAGTAGCAGGTTTTTTAATAGGTTTTGATTGCATTGGTGATGGAGGCTTTTCAATTCTATCATTCGAAGAAACTCTTTTGTAGTCATAATCACTATCATCTTCACTATTATGATGATTGTGATGTCGCTGATGGTTACGATGAGATTCATACTCCTCCTCAACTTCATATCTATAGTGATGATGGCGGTGACGATGCTTATGATGTTTATGGTGACGAGAGTCATGATGTCTTGAATTATATTTACGATATGATTCCATTTCATTTTGTAAATCTAAAAAAAAATAAATCAATAGTAAAATAAAATTTACATAGTCGTCTCAACTGCAATACGTTTATAAAAAATTAATTATTATCTCAAATTTTACGTTCTAAAATGTGGTTATAACAATAATATAAAATTTTAATGAACTAAAAATATTAATATATTTTATGTACCTACAACAAAATGTACTAAGAGAACATATAGAATCAAACTAAAACAATGTTTAATAAACTGTTCATTTTAGTTTGAAAAAATTTGATTAAATGTAGTAAACATTAACTAAAACAGGCACGATCAAACAGCTTAAAGTAATTCTAAATCCTAACTAATAAATTGTTAAGTCCTAATCATCTTAGTCTGGAAGAGGTATGGGTTCATATCGAAAATATAAACATTAACAGTCTAGTATATACAGTTATTAAAATATAACTTAAATTACCGTGTTACTGTAACACTGTACAATGATCATATTATCAACCAACTGTAAATTTCATTAATTTTTTTTAAAATTTCATTGATTTACAAATTTTGAAATATTATTCATATAAATATATAAACGGATAATGATAATTGAAATAATATTTTATAATGATGTTTAAAAACTCAAATAACTGATCACAAAGTTTGTGAGTTGAAAAATAGATGAATAGTTAGATTTAAAAAATTCAAATTATATACTTTCTTCCATGAAATAAGTATATTTTATCCTTTTTGGGCCTTTGACTTACCCGTAGAAGGGTAAACAACGTTGTTAAAATTGGTCCTATCGTGAAAAATATAATAAACATTATTAAATAATGATGATAAGTCTTTAGTATTTGCCTAAAACACTATAATATGAAAGAAAATAAAAATAAAAATAATGATTTATAATTTAAAAATATATAATATTTAAAACACAATTTCTATAATAATACTAATCATTAGCTTAGCTTCTTTAGCTTTCTCAAATGATTTATATGTCTTTTTGAGTGAGAGAGGAGTAAATGAATCAATGTGATGGAGTACTTCCTAAACAAGTTATTTATGCAAATTTATAAATAGAATAGGGGACTATTGAACCCATATACAACATTTTTAAACTACGTCTATCATATTAACCCCAATAATTACTCGGATAATAAAGGGTAAAAAACCCTTTAGGGTTTTCTTATCGGCCAGATTTCCAACTTACAAACACTAGTAGAAAAAAAAATGAAAAATATTAATTTTTTTTACTATTAACTAAAAATGTTTGAACGTTAAAGAATATAGCATAGCTGTCGCCATGAGAGCAGAATGAGGAATATATCCAACGACTCTATGGAATCAGCTAAAAATGTCGAATGTAATGATAAATTGTTTGAGACGGCTCATCGTTCGTTTAAAATAAACGAATCACTTCACTTAACAAATTTATTCACATTTATGGAAGTATGACGATTCATTCGTTCGTAACTTTATTTGAATTTTAATTCAAAAAATTGTTTAAAAGTAGAGAACGGATTGACAGGGGACCATCTCAAATTGTCACAATAAAAAAAGAAAAAACTATATCATACTGTTTTTTTTTTGTTAATAACTTTTGTTACAGTAGCGATATTTTTCATAGGGAGAGATTTTAATCGGACTCTAAATTGTCAAAATACAAAATTTTTGTAAATTAAAATATAAAGTTTTGATTACTTTTTAAGTAAACTGTATAATAATTCAATGTAGGAATTATATAGATAAAATAATGTACAGTATTGCATTACGTCAGATAACAATAGTATATTAAAATAAAAAAATTTAAGTAACAATTATGTTTTATTTAATGAGTAATATAGTTCTGTAAACTAGTTAAAAAATGTGTTTAATTATGCTAGTTTTTAAAAATGTTCAGAAATAATGGTAACCGTAACCTTTGTTGAAATTGTAATTAGCATTTGTATTATATAATGAATCTAACAAAATATTCACTAGCATTATTTGTTTAAACCATTAGAAAAGATATGATTCAAGACGACCTAAGAACCTATCAGAGAGTAATTTTTTAATTACTCATTGTATTCTAGTCAATTTAAAAATAAAGAGTCAGTGAACTAACTTATTTTGGTGAATTGATTCAAATCACCCAAAAGATTAATAATTCCCATTCCTAGTCGAGTGTGTATGAGACAAATTCAAAAGTTTCCCCATCATAACAGTAAAGAGAAATGACATCATTGTCTTATTTTCATTTATTCTTGATATAAAATTATAAAAATAAAAACAAAATTATTTGTTTACATAAATTTGAAATCAAATTTTTCTACTAACTTTCTAAATTTTCTGTAAGTATTAAGGGAGTCCATAGTCTTAGTCCCCTAATTTTTCAAAATTAAATTGTAGTTATGAGATTAAATTTAATAATATAGTGAGAGAGGATGAAATTCTTTCTTTTCAATTTCAATAGTTAATAACAAGAATAAAAAAAATTCATAAAACCTAAAACTTTTGAATTAATTAATCAAATTTGTTTGAAATTTGTATTTTTCAACTAGATGAACAAAAAGTATATTATTAAATGATTAAAACAGTCACAAAAAAATAATTTTCTAGCTATTAAATAACATATTTTAAAAAACACAAAAAAATGTAACAATTTAATAATAACAATAAATAAAAATATAAATTAAAACTGTCATGAACTATCTAAGGATTCAGATGTTATCACTTTTCTTCGTTTTTTTAATACATTTCCAATGAAGTATTCACCAGCCTTGTATGAGCTACGAACAAGAGGTCCACTAGCAGTATACATAAAAGCCAATTTGTCCCCCATTTCTTGCCAATATTTAAACTTTTCAGGTGTAACATATTCAACAACTTTTAAATGCCGTTTTGTTGGTTGCATATACTGACCAAGTGTTACACAATCCACTAATGAATCTTTTAAATCTAAATTCAATAAATAAAAAATAAAAAATTCTTAATTATAAGTTGTTTTTTAAAATGTATACCTTTTAAAGTTTGAAGAATTTGTTCATCAGTTTCGCCAAGCCCTAACATAATAGATGACTTTGTAATTAGAGTTGGATTTAATTCTTTAGCTGATCTTAAAACTGACATAGATTGTCTGAAAAAAATGATTAATTAACTATATATATATATTTTATAATAAATCTGTAAAAAGTCAAGAATATTTCAATTTTATTTTACATATATAAATGAAAACAAAAAGTAGATATTTTATATTAATTTGTTATAATCTGATTTAACTTTTATAAAATACCTATAATTTGCTCTTCTATCCCTAACAAATGGTGTTAATTTTTCAACAGTTTCGACATTATGGGCAAAAACATCTAGACCGGAATCAACAATGATTTTTATAAGTTCAACAGAGCCTTGGAAATCTGGTGCTAAGCATTCTATCATAATATTAGGATTACTGTAAAATAAATAACTTAAATTAATTTTAATATATATCTTCAATTTTTGATGTAATAGTAAAAATTCTAAAGTGAACTTGCCGTTTTCTTATTTCTATTACAGTTTTTGCAATATGAGCAGCACCGCCATCTTTTAGATCTATAATGTAACATATATTCAAATCATAAAATTATTTTCATTCTGTAACTACATAAAATAAAATGATTACCATCACGATCAACTGATGTTAAAACAATATAATCTAAGCCCCATGATGCAATTGCTTGAGCAGTGTTAATAGGTTCATTTAAATCAGGTAGCATTGGAGCTCTAGAAGTTTTTACTGAACAAAATCGACAACCTCTAGTACAAGTATCACCTAATAACTATAATTAAGAATAATTTTATGCAATTTATATTTAACAAATTTATTTTAAAATACTTACCATAATAGTTGCTGTAGCAGTTCCATGTTTACCTCCTCCCCAACATTCTCCAATATTAGGACATCTAGCCTCTTCACATACAGTATGTAAATTTAAATCTTTTAACTGTTCTTTAATTCTAGAAAAATTTTCACCGGTTGGTATTTGAGTCTTAAGCCATGGTGGTAAACGCAGTCTTTCTTCTTCGCCTTTAGCTCGGCGCAGCTTACCATTGTATGGTTTTGTTTCAGGTGCATCATTTATAAAATCAATTAAATCTGGACCATTTTGAAGTGTTTCACGAAATTTATCTCTCACAGTTGATTTTGTTCTTGAACTCTATACGAATAAAAATAATTCACACACATTTAACTATAAAATATACTAAAAAAATATTTTTAGGCCAAAAATTACTTAAAGCATTTTAAGTAAAATTTAGTCATCTAAACATACATACTTGTACGATAATATAATTAGTTTTACAGTACGATCCTAGTTTGTTTATCAATAATGACATTTTACATAAACTACCTTATATCATAATTGACAATTTACACTTAATCCCAAAAACTAAACATTAAAAATTCAAGGTAGTTAAAAGTTTAATAGATCATTTATCTCTCATTATCAACAACTGATAAAAAATGATTGTAGCGTGATATCAAAATGTATACCAATTTTTTCTTATGATATTAAATTATGTAAATCACTGCCTTTGAATAGATCATCCTTATATTATCTTATAACAGTGGCATATCACATAAGGTGCTACCTGGGGCAGTTGCACCTTAAATAATCAAATAAGTGACACATTTTATCATACTAAAATTATTTTGGGTAGTTATTTATTATCATTTTGTATGCATCTATCATCAAACTATTAAATTACTAACTTACCCAACTTATATGCTTTAGCAATATACATTGCTACCTTAACTTTTTTAGTTATTTGGCCTCTTTTTAGGATTTCAAAGTATGCTATTTTTACCGTCGTCTTAACTAAGAAATGTAATTCTTGTATTAGAAAAGTCGGGAAAATCTAGTAAGTTCAGCCATACGGAATCTAACCTGCGCATCGAGGCAGACACGTCTTGACTAAACATACAGGTCCAAAACTTAGTATTCATGAGTAGATTTAAAACAAATACCAAAAATATCTATGGTGATTTTCCGAAAATTTGGATTAGGTATGTGCATAAATGATATTCTTGCTGTAGTCGACAAAGATTTTAATAAAGAGAATATCATACAACATTTAAATTTATACTATCCTTCAGTAAATATGGGAGGTCACTATTTTGGATTTGTTATTTAAAAGAGCAGAGGAGAGTTCAATTTGGAAACCTATTAAATAAAACTTGTTCAGTTAAATTCTTATGCCGATAGCATAATTCTTTGAAAATCTTATGATTATCAAAGAACTACCAAAGACATATCAAATCAATTTTTTTTCAATTTAATGATAATGTTCTAATAAAGTTTATTTAAACCGACGTCAAATTAAATTTTATACATCAATGTAACATTTTTTATAGTTTAATAACAGATAATTTTTAATAATGATAATTACATTTTCTATAGTTATAAACTTTAAATTAATTATAGTTATAAATCAGTAAAATAATGAACAATAACCGTTTTACTTCTTAGAAAAATATACTACTTATTACGGATCTCGTAGTTTATTAATAATTTTGAGTATTTTATCAAATTTAATCAATTACCAGCTTCTTATATTAAAAAGTTATATAGTTTAGACTGAAGAAGTTATCGGAGAAATTATTACATTTACAACATATTTACAGATATTACAAAAAGCTTCAATATCAAAAACTGTCATTTATATTTATATAAAACTAGAAAATATTTATTATTGATTTTATATATACACAATGATTAATTATTAATATTACATAATAATTTCATTATTTAAAATTGTATAATTATAACAACAGTTCACCATATTTATAAAATTCCATAGATTTGTAAAGAGATAAGTTTAATTTTAACAAATGGGAAATTTTTTATCACGTTTTAATGGCACACTGTAACGTCTGTTTATGTGGCACTCCCTCTCATCGTGCTCCCGAAAACCCTTTCGTTACTTTTTTCGCATAATTCGCGATATGAACGGCGCACCGATTTTACAATACACTTGTCGTCTCATCGTTTATTTATTAATTATTCACTTATAATTCAATATATATACTTTAATTGCTAAGACAAATTTAGTAAATTTTAACTTTTTATTTATTTATACGTTTAATATTTTTTGTTGATTATTTACCTGTTATATGTCTTGTTTTTGTCATTCATCATAACGCCGTGTGTGACGTACTTAGTAGTTTTTTTTTTATTTTTATCAGTGTACCTATACATAAATTAATTTTTCTAGCCAGTTCTTCAATCTTATTAGTTTAGTGTCAGTTTCAGATTATTAAATTTCCGTCAAAATGTCTCAGATATTACCCATTAAGTTCCAGGAGCATTTACAGGTAAACGCCATTAAGCCGACCAAGATTGCATTATCACAAACTGTTCGAAAATTATTTATACTGATGAAAGTATTTCATTATGTGGAAAAAACCCAGTAAAAAAAAATCATTGTGTTAATTTTATTTAACCTTATATATGAAATATAAACTTTAAATAGTATTTAAAAAATATATGTATGTATTTTTTACATAGTCCATTAATTAAATTATCTTCATCCAGTCGTTCATTTTTCATGTTATATTTAATATGTCAGTGTTCAAATGATAAAAGATATCTATTAAATGGGCGGATCATTAAAACATTGTCTGGATTATATATTTTTTATTTTTATATTAATAATTTAAATGTTTCAAGTCCTACTGTTATGATTATTAAAATAAAAATAAAATTAGTTAAATTATACGAGCTCAATTATTTGTTAATTATGAGAACATTCATCCTAGAACCATTAAATTTAAAGTAAACTTTAATATAAATATTATATATCAACCTATAAGTAGTTAAATATATTATAATAATAGGTAGTTCAATTAAATGACCAATCATAATTATGTTAAATAGCTTACAAATGTTGGAATTAATCAATCAAATATCAGCTTTAACACTCTTACAATGGAGTCAGATAAATATATCTGTGTACGCGAGAAAACTGGTGATGTTGCACAAGTAGTTATTGTTGATATGGCTGATCCTCAAAATCCGATTAGGCGTCCAATTTCTGCCGACTCGGCAATAATGAATCCAGCTAGCAAAGTTATAGCTCTTAAAGGAAAGGCTGGTACTGAAGGAACAGCTGCTTGTAAGAATTTCTTAGTTGATTATTTTTTATAATTTTGTATAAGATTTAATGGTATATTAACTAATGTATATTATAATTCCTTAGCTCAAAAAACATTACAAATATTTAACATTGAAATGAAGAGTAAAATGAAAGCTCATATAATGCAAGATGATGTTGTATTTTGGAAATGGATTTCTCCTAATACATTGGCCCTTGTTACTGAAACATCAGTCTTTCACTGGAGTATGGAAGGTAAAAGTCTTTTATTATTATTTCTTTGTGTTATTATTATATTATATTAATTTTAGGAGATTCTACGCCAGTAAAAATGTTTGATCGCCATTCAACATTAAATGGTTGTCAGATAATTAACTATCGAACTGATCAAAAACAACAATGGTTATTGCTAATAGGAATTTCAGCTCAAGTATATCTTATATTATAAAATTTTATTTTAATTTAATCAATTCAAATTTTTCTAGCAAAATAGAGTCGTTGGAGCTATGCAATTGTACTCTGTTGAAAAAAGTTGTTCTCAACCGATTGAAGGACATGCAGCATCATTTGCAAAATTTCAAATGGAAGGGAATAGAGAACCATCAACTTTATTTTGCTTTGCAGCTCGTACTGCAGCTGGTGGAAAAGTAATTTTTTATTTATAACTAATGTTTTTAAAAAAATATAGTATAACATTTTATTAAAAAAATTTTTTAGTTACATATTGTTGAAGTAGTTCAGACTCCTCGAGGTAATCAACCATTCCCCAAAAAACAAGTTGAAGTGTTTTTCCCCCCTGAAGCTCAAAATGATTTCCCTGTTGCCATGCAAGTGAGCTCTAAATTTGATGTTATTTATCTCATAACAAAATATGGCTATATACACCTGTATGATATTGAAACTGCTACCTGTATCTATATGAATCGCATTAGTGGTGATACAATTTTTGTAACGGCTCCACATGATGCTACTGGCGGTATTATTGGTGTTAATCGTAAAGGTCAAGTTCTATCTGTGAGTGTGGAAGAAGATAACATTATACCATATATAAATACTGTACTACAACATTCAGAACTGGCTTTGCGAATGGCAGTTCGTAATAATTTATCTGGTGCTGAAGAACTATTTGTGCGAAAATTTAATCAACTTTTTCAAAGTTCCCAATATACTGAAGCAGCTAAAGTAGCTGCTAATGCTCCTAAAGGCATTCTTAGAACCCCATCAACAATACAGAAATTTCAGCAGGTTCCTACTGCTACAAATCAATCTTCACCTCTTCTTCAGTATTTTGGAATATTACTTGATCAGGTATTTTTAAATAAAAATTTAATAAAAAATTAATTTTATACAAATATAATTATTTTTGAAATATAGGGAAAATTAAACAAGTATGAATCATTAGAATTATGTCGTCCAGTACTTGCTCAGGATAAAAAACAACTTCTTGAAAAATGGCTTAAAGAAGATAAATTAGAATGCTCAGAAGAATTAGGAGATTTAGTAAAAACTGCTGATATATCTTTGGCATTATCAGTTTATCTCCGTGCTAATATACCTCCTAAAGTAATAAAAAATATTTGGTTTGTGAGATTTATTTGAAAAATTAATTGAACTTTTATTTAGGTTGTTCAATGTTTTGCTGAAACTGGCCAGTATCAAAAAATAATTCTGTATTCTCAAAAAATCAGCTATGTACCTGATTACATACATTTATTTAGAAATGTAGTTTTAAGATCTACTCCTGATCATGCTGTTGAATTTGCACAAATGTTATTATCAGATAATGCTGAACCTTTGGCCAACATTAATCAAGTACGAGCCCATTTTGTGCTAATTATGAGTAATAAAATTTAACTAAATTTGTTCAATTAGATTGTTGACATTTTCATTGAACAAAATATGGTCCAACAATGCACAAAATTTCTTTTGGAAGCATTAAAACATAATCGTGAAGCAGAAGGTCCATTACAGACCCGTTTACTTGAAATGAACTTAATATCAGCTCCTCAAGTTGCTGATGCTATCCTTGGAAATCAGATGTTTACTCATTATGATCGTGCTCATGTTGCACAACTTTGTGAAAAAGCTGGTCTTTTGCAAAGAGCATTAGAACATTATACAGATTTATATGATATTAAAAGAGCAGTTGTTCATACGCAGTTGCTAAACCCAGATTGGTTGATTGGATATTTTGGTTCTTTAAGTGTTGAAGACTCCCTTGAATGTTTGAAAGCAATGCTTACCAATAATATTAGACAAAATTTGCAAATATGTGTTAAGGTATAAATTTTTATATATATATATATTTTATAGAATAAATAAAAATATTTTATTTAATAGATTGCTACTAAATATCATGAACAACTGACTACCAAAGCTCTAATTGATCTATTTGAATCATTTAAAAGTTATGAAGGTCTCTTTTATTTTTTGGGGTCTATAGTTAATTTTAGTCAAGATCCAGAAGTTCACTTTAAATATATTCAAGTTAGTATTTAATATAGATATTAAATAACAAAATATTTTACTTTCATTAATATATAACAAACATTTTATTTTAGGCAGCATGCAAAACAGGTCAGATAAAAGAAGTTGAACGTATATGTCGTGAATCAACTTGTTATAATGCAGAAAGAGTGAAAAATTTTTTGAAGGAAGCTAAACTTACTGATCAATTACCACTTATCATTGTGTGTGACCGTTTTAATTTTGTACATGATCTTGTCTTGTATCTGTACAGAAATAGTCTTCAAAAGTATATTGAAATTTATGTTCAAAAAGTTAACCCCTCTCGTCTTCCAGTCGTAGTAGGGGGTCTGCTTGATGTTGATTGTTCAGAAGATATTATTAAAAATCTTATACAAGTAGTTAGGGGAGAATTTTCTACTGATGAACTAGTTGAAGAAGTAGAAAAACGTAATCGTCTTAAATTACTATCATCTTGGCTAGAATTGCGTGTTCATGATGGTAGTGAAGAGCCTGCTACTCACAATGCTTTAGCAAAAATTTACATTGACAGTAATAATAACCCAGAAAGATTTTTGAAGTATGTATTTAAATAGTAAATCTTTATTATAAGTTTCATCATGAAAAATTATATTTTAGGGAAAATAAGTTCTATGATAGCAGAGTTGTTGGAAAATATTGTGAAAAACGTGATCCTCACTTAGCTTGTGTTGCGTATGAACGTGGAAAATGTGACTTGGAGTTGATAAATGTTTGCAATGAAAACAGCTTATTTAAATCTGAAGCTCGTTATTTAGTAAGACGTCGCAATCCAGAGCTATGGTTGGAAGTTTTAAATGAAAACAATGTTTATCGTCGTCCTCTTATTGATCAAGTGGTACAAACAGCTCTCTCTGAAACACAGGACCCTGAAGATATATCTGTCACTGTAAAAGCTTTTATGACTGCTGATTTACCTAATGAATTAATTGAACTATTGGAAAAAATAGTTTTTGATAATTCCCTATTTAGTTCACATAGGTAAAAAGTTCATTATATAATTTAAATTACAAAAAATTATCATTTTTATATTTTATTTTTATAGAAATTTACAAAATTTATTGATATTAACAGCAGTTAAAGCTGATCGCACTCGTGTTATGGATTATATCAATCGTTTAGATAATTATGATGCACCTGATATAGCTTCAATTGCCATTAACAATGAATTATTTGAAGAAGCTTTTGCTATATTCAAAAAATTCAATGTTAATCAATCTGCAATTCAGGTAAATGTCATCTAAAATTTCCATAGTGAGTAAAGAATTTTCTTACCAATATTCCGTTAATTTTTTTTTTTACTTTAGGTGTTGATTGAAAATGTTAAAAACTTAGACCGGGCATATGAATTTGCTGAACGTTGCAATGAACCTGGTGTATGGAGTTTGTTAGCAAAATCTCAGTTAGAAAACATGTTTGTAAAAGAAGCTATTGATTCTTTTATTAAAGCTGATGATCCTAGTGCATATATGGACGTTGTACAAACTGCTCATAAAACAGGTACTTATTATTATTAAATTATTATTTTTCTATGTTGTTATGTTTCATACATATTTATTTATATAAATGTAATATAAATATAGAAAGTTGGGAAGATCTTGTACGTTATCTACAAATGTCTAGGAAAAAGGCTCGTGAATCATATATTGAAAGTGAATTGATTTATGCTTATGCAAAGACTAACAGGCTAGCTGATCTTGAAGAATTTATATCTGGACCAAATCATGCAGATATTCAAAAAGTATAACTTATTGCAAAAAATAAAATAAAGTATATTGATTTGATTTTTATGAATACTTTTTTAGATTGGTGATAGATGTTTTGATGATGAAATGTATGAACCAGCTAAACTTTTATACAACAATGTTTCAAACTTTGCTCGTTTAGCAATCACTCTTGTTCATCTTAAAGAGTATCAAGGTGCTGTGGACAGTGCACGAAAGGCTAATAGTACTAGAACTTGGAAAGAAGTATGCTTTGCATGTGTTGATAACAATGAATTCAGATTAGCACAAATGTGTGGATTACACATTGTAGTTCATGCCGATGAATTAGAAGACCTTATCAACTATTATCAAGTAAATTATTACAAGTTAATAAGATTAATAATGCATAAGCTAACAAGTTCTTTTTTTAGGATCGTGGATATTTTGAAGAATTAATTAATTTATTAGAAGCTGCATTAGGTTTAGAGCGAGCACATATGGGCATGTTTACAGAATTGGCTATTTTATATTCTAAATATAAGCCAACAAAAATGAAGGAACATTTAGAACTCTTCTGGTCAAGAGTGAACATTCCAAAAGTTTTAAGAGCAGCTGAACAAGCACATTTATGGTCTGAATTAGTGTTTTTATATGACAAATATGAAGAATATGATAATGCTGTATTAGCCATGATGAATCATCCTACTGAAGCTTGGCGTGAAAGTCATTTTAAAGACATTATAACTAAGGTATAGTATAGCTCATATTTATTCTAATTTTTCTATTATAATGGTTGTATTATATTATTAGGTTGCTAATTTAGAACTATACTATAAAGCTATACAATTTTACCTTGATTACAAACCACTATTACTCAATGATTTGTTATTAGTTCTGACTCCACGGATGGACCATACTAGAGCAGTGACCTACTTTACAAAAGTAATTTTGATTTATTTTTTCATTACTAAGTTAATTTAACTTTTAATGGTAATTTGTTAATTAGACAAATCATTTACAATTGGTTAAAACATACTTGCGTTCAGTGCAATCCTTAAACAATAAAGCTATTAATGAAGCTTTGAATAATTTGTTGATTGATGAAGAAGACTACCAAGTAATTTATTGCTTATTCATTTAATTATATGATTAATAATTTATGATATTGCAAAACTTTTAATCAAATTATAAAATTCCAATGAGACTATGAGGCATAATTATTCATTTAAATGTGCAATTTTTAAAGAATTGTCATATATTGTTAGGACTATAAAATATACTTATTATATATATAATTTAGGTGTAGATCTATGAATATTTTTCTAATATCCGATAAATCAATATAAAACTGTGAACTAATCTAATACTACAATTTATACTAAATAACTTAATTTAATAAATTAAAATTAGTTTTATTAATTTTTTTTTTTAATGTTTCTTGTAATGTTACACTGTTCTACAACTGTCATCAAATAAATTGGAACAAAAATAAACATAGTTCAATAAGTTATCTTTTGACTAGAAAGGGTTGTTTAGTTTTTTATTATAAATAATATACAAAATTGTTCTAAAACTATTTTTTATGCTTATAAAATAAATTTTATTTTTATTAGCTCATGAAATCTACTTATATGTTGAATTGTTTTTTTCAGTTTGTATTTTGATCTTTGAGTAACAATGTTAAGTTTTTAAGATTTAACATTCTAAATTTAAATATATGTATTACTATATTTATTTAATCTTAAATTTTCATATTTCATACATAGTAATAATTTATTATAATATGCTAGCATACACATAACTGACCCTTCTGGTTAATTATTTGTGTAGCACTGGATATTATGATATTAATACAATAGTTGTATTTTCATTTATTTATGGAGTAAAGTATATATTATCATTGCATGAATGACACCATTAAGAATATTAAATTTATTTTAAGCCTACTTCAACTGATGTGAATTTATGTTTTCATAAATTTAAAAACCTTTTGTCAATAGCAGAATTAATAAATTAATGTTTTTGTTTTTTATGGATAAATGTATCATTTTTTAATATTAGATAAGTTTGAAAGTTTTTCAAAAAGTTTGTATGATTGTGTACATAAGAATAAACAAGTATCCAATATCTGATTAAGAAACTTGGTGTGTACTCACAGTAGTTAGTAATACATTCATATACATATATATATATATTCATTTATACAACAGGATATCATGTATTGTAGAAACGTCACAAGTCCAAAGTTTTCAAACACATCCTCTAAAATCGAGTAATTTTGTATTAATTTGGCGTATCATTGAATAAATTTCTTTGACCATCTCAATTTCAATACAACATGCCAATGGTAGCTTATGAATAGTTTTCTTTTTTTTACTGTTCTCTTCTAGTTGAATATTTTGGATTTTTGTTGTTTTTCAAAATAAATGGTTCACTTAACAAATACCAATTTTAATAAACAATGAAACTTACTTTAACTAAAATGTAATTATTTATGTTAAGAGATTTTCTGTTAACCACACAAATATAAATTAAAGTATTTGGCTATCCAGGGTCGTTCTTTAAACATTGATTATATTGCATTGTTGTTTTTTTAAGAAAGAGGAATAATTTGTTCTCGGACTATTATTGGTTAAAATAAAAACAACTAATTTTCTGATATGATTATTTACTGATATACAATGTTGGTTAATACCAATACTCTTCTCTAATATTACTATAGTTCTTAATAATTTGAAACTTTTATTAAAAAAAAAAAGTCTAGTTCCAACTAAATAAAAATTTATTATACATTTCGCACCTTCAATTTTTTATTAAAATTTCTTTTGATGAAATTTAATTTAAAAAAAAATATATTAGCATTTTAATCTTAAGTGAAAAAAATATAAGTTATCTATATTGAAAATAAAAAATTATAATGTTACACTTTTTTAGGGATTAAGAACATCTATTGATGCTTTTGATAATTTTGACACAATAGCACTAGCACAGAAACTTGAAAAACATGAATTGACTGAGTTCAGACGAATTGCTGCTTATTTGTATAAAAGTAATAATCGATGGAAGCAAAGTGTTGAACTTTGCAAAAAAGATAGACTATATAAGGTAAATTGGATATTTTTATCTAAACTTCATTAAATCTAAATTAACAAAATATAACTTAAATGAATTAGGATGCAATGGAGTATGCAGCAGAGTCAAAGAATTTTGAAGTTGCTGAAGAGTTAGTGACTTGGTTTTTAGAGCGTGGAAATTATGATTGTTTTGCTGCTGCTTTATTCCAATGTTATGATCTAGTTCACCCAGATGTAGTATTAGAATTAGCATGGCGACATAATATTATGGACTTTGCTATGCCATATTTAATTCAAGTCACCAGAGAATATGTATCCAAAGTTGACAAACTAGAAGAAGCTGAATCAAAACGTGTAGAAGAACACAAAGAAGAAGATATTAAACCTATGATGATGCGTATGTAAAGAAAAATAATGTTAAATGTTTAATTGTACTTATTTATTTTTTTTTTATAGCTGAACCACAATTGATGTTAACAGCAGGTCCATCAGTTATGGGAAATATGTACTCACAATCTTACCAAGGGACAATTCCTCCTTCGCAATCCTATATCCCTCCTAATGTTTCAGCACCTTATAGTACTGTAAATAATGCACCTTATCAAGGTTATGGAATGTAAGGAATCTATCATAAGTAATCCTCCAAACAAGCAGTATTTTATTGAAAAACAATGATGGGTTCTGAAATATTTCAGCTATAAATTTACCTAAAATATTTATATTTTTTATGTATAAAATACTACTTCATTTAGAAGCATTCCAACAAAATATAATCTTTAAAAGCTTTACAAACAAATTATATTTATATATAAATGTATTCTCATCATTGTTAAATAATATTTGCATAGGTAATGTTAATAATTTGTTAAATTATTATTTGTTTAATTTATTAAACTTCACAACGTAACTTATGAATTATATGCATATACATTTTTAATTATGATTTCACGTTAATTTTTATAATTTATTTTATTTATAATCGTATCATTATGATTTTTTTTTGTAAATTATTATTATTATTATTATCAACAATTTATTTAAAAATATGAAAAAGTTATAATGGATATTGTGTTTTTATTTTTTCCAAACTTGTTTTTATTTTAATTTCCTTTAATTCAGATGTATTACTTTAGAAAATGTGTGAAGTTTTAATGTAACTAGAAATAAATCAATGTTTATTTATTAGTGTAAAAAAAATTGTTTCTGGTCAATTTTAAAATAGTGCATAGTTAAATTTGCATAATAATTAATAATTTTAAAAAGAATTAATAGTATATATTAATATACTGAGTTGCTGCCTGTTATGATAGAAATACATAGTTGTATAATTAATTTTAAGGAATGAGTTTTGTTTACTAATTTTTGAATAATTAAAATTTACTATAAAATTTTTTATGCAGTTTTAGCAACAAAAAAAAGGCTATCACGACTAACATTGTTAATCATTTCGGATTGAGGGTTACAATACCCCTTCCCTCTGATTTTGCGGCGTCATGGTACAAATGTGAATAAATCATTTGAATGAGCTTGAACGGCACATTTTTGAATAAAAATGTTATAATTATATTACTTTTCATAAGGAAACTAAAATGGTATACATAAATAAAATTTATAAGTGTTTAATAAGTTATATTAACATTAGAATAGTCAAGTTTTCTATGTTTAACATCTTTTTCAGCAATTCGTTTGATAGGTCTTAAATCATGCAAATATATATCATCAGCTGATAAGTGAGGTAGGATAAGATCCAGTTTTTTTCTTTTAATATCAAATTGATCTTTCTCAGTTACCAATTTACTTTCTTCCTGTAAAGTTATTATAATTTATTATAATTTCTCTAAGAATTTATAATAATGACATTAATTTTTTTAAATCTATTATTAATGTCAAATTATTTTTTGCGCATACTTTTAATACATTTTCTTCTCGTTTGATAACTTCTAATAAACGTTTATGAATGTCATAACCTTTTCTTTCAAATTTACTTTGAATTTCTTTAGCAATTTCCAATGATTTTAAGCCTTCTTCTTGTTTAACCATAGCCATCTAGAAAGTTAAATATTTTTTAGTATATTATAATATACATTCATTTTATAATGTAAAATTATTTTATAAATCGTGTTAAATTATTTTTATAATGAATAAATTATGAAATTTATTTTTAGTATATTTAAACTCTTCAAAACTACAGTATCTATAATAACCATTTGGTATTAATAGTTTAATTAAAGAAATATTTGTGAAATGAAATTTTTATAAAGTTTTGATAATTAATTATTGAAACTTATAATACTAATCGCCTAAAAAAAAGTAGTTGTTTAGTCTAATGATAAAGTTTTATACAGCTGACGTTATAAATCGCGGGGCTTTATATGTGTTATTTTTTTTAGTAAAACTAGAAACCTTTATAATCACCCATTTAGTTTGTAAGGTCTCTTTACATAGTGTTTTGTGGGAAATATACCTTTTTTAATGCTGGCCTTGCTGAATTTACTCATTATTATATTTTGCAGAAATTATCTTTGGTCGTAAAATGTGGCAACCACAGACATAATAACTAAATTTAATTTAATTTAATTTATCTTGTATCTATGACCACAACCTCATAATTTTGGAATATTATTTTGGGCGAAAGGGGGAAGAATGACCCATTTTTAGGTTCTGGACTACGACTAGTTACAGGACTCGAGCCCCACCACCATATATACAACTAAAATAAAACGTTTAATATTCTAATTGTATTTTTAAATTTTTATAAAATGCTAAGCTGTCTCTGCTGCTGTCTAATTTAGCCAATATACATTCTCTATGTAAACTGAACTAATGCAATAATATGCTTATCTAGATTAGAATTGGACGCTTTACGAGAAAAGTTAAGTCGATATGAAATACGAATAAATGAATTAGAAGAGGAACGAAAAAATGATGCAATAGAACAAAAAGAAAAAGAAAAACTTTTAAAACAGTCTTATGAAGATAGACTAAAGGTAATACATGAAAGTCATTTGATTGATCTGAAGCAATCAACCGAAATACAAAAAATAAAAATGACTCATTTAGAAGAATTTGATACTAATTTAAAAAATTCTCAATCTGACAGCGAGAGAGATATTAATAAGTACACTAGAAAAAAAACTTAAAGGTAGGTTTTATTATTAACAAATTTTCTTTTTAATATACACTCTTAATAGAAATAAAGAGTTGAAAAGATCTATAACTACATTTGAAAATAATCGTAGGCTATGGGAACGAGAGAGAAAATCGGAAAGATGAATTAGAAGTTATTTTCTAAAATTACATTCTAAATTTTCAAAACTTAACTATCAACCATTTTCTGCACAATTTTGATATTTCAAAATTATAATGTCGAAATTAAGTGTATAGAATGTACCAACAGTTAAAGAAGATAATCTAAAACACAATTACATTTCATATAGTCTTTTATCTCATCTATCAACAGTTTTTGTAGAATCACTATTTAATAAAACATTTAATTTACTGAATTCGTAAATATCAGTTATATACGAGTTATAGTTATCGTATAGTTATCATTTTTTTTTTAAATTTTCTATTACCTTTAAAAGTTTTTCAGCACGAATTGATTTTTTTTTTACTTCATCATCTTGTTCCTGAATTTTACACTTCGTTTCAGCTAGATGTTTTTCTTGTTCTTCTATGTGTTCTACTCTTTTTTCTAAATCTTTTTCTCTTTTTTTTAAATCTTCTAAATTTTGTTTGAATTCTGCTTTTGCTTTTATAAAATCACTTTCTGTACCAAAATCTAATTTCATCAAAGTTTCAAGACGATAACGTTCCGATATTACTTCAAATCGTTCTTCTGCTAATTTTCTTTGTTCTTCCATTACTGATGAACGAATAGCCTGCATTTCAAATTTATAAATTTTACATCACAAAATAAAACTTATAATTCTAAAAGAAAATATTTTAGTACAGTCTGCACCAGTGACAGACCATTTTTTAGTACTTTTGTAACGCAGGTGGGTACAGCTTGTACAAATATATTATTTATAATGCATAATCCAACCCTCTACATACTCACTATATTTATTGATCAATAAATACTTATTCTAATAAGGTATCGAACCATCAACAATTTTTGTAAGAAACGATTTAAAAAATTTTGAAATTTCAAAAATGAAATAATAATAATCATTTTTTTATAATTAAAAATAAATAATAAAAATATATTTTTAATGTAGTCCAAAACATTGTAAAAAAAACTAATGCAAAATATTCACTGTATCAAAAATTACTAAATATATCAAAACCTGATAGAGCACCTTGTATAAAAATGTAATAATAATATTTTTATAATTAACAGCATACAAAATATGTATCTTAATAATTGATAAATCCGTTGATATAAAAATCACACAAATAATGCGGAATGACTAACGAAAAAACTGTTTTCTATGTTATTCGTTAATAAACATGTTTTTTTCAAAATGAAATATCAAAATTGTACAGAAAATGGTTGATATTAAGTTTTGAACATTACTTCTAATTCATCTTTCCGATTTTCAATATATTGAATTTCTGATTTTCTCTCTCGTTCCCATAGCTTACGACTATTTTCAAATGTAGTTATAGATCTTTTCAACTCTTTTTTGGAAAATTCCAACTCATTACGTTCTTTAGAACTTTTTGCTTCAAAATCATCGACTTTTACTTGGAAACTTTCTCTCTCGCACTCTATATCTGCTAACTGTTTACCTATTTCTTCTTGCAAATCTACGGATTTATTTCTATTAAGAGTGTATATTAAAAAGAAAATTTGTTAATAATAAAACCTACCTTTAAGTTTTTTTTCTTGTGTACTTATTAATATCTCTCTCGCTGTCATATCCTCACTGTTAAAAGTACGTTTAGATTGAGAATTTTTTAAATTAGTATCAAATTCTTCTAAATGAGTCATTTTTATTTTTTGTATTTCGGTTGATTGCTTCAGATCAATCAAATGACTTTCATGTATTACCTTTAGTCTATCTTCATAAGACTGTTTTAAAAGTTTTTCGTTTTCTTTTCGTTCTATTGCATCATTTTTTCGTTCCTCTTCTAATTCATTTATTCGTATTTCATATCGACTTAACTTTTCTCGTAAAGCGTCCAATTCTAATCTAGATAAGCATATTATTGCATTAGTTCAGTTTACATAGAGAATGTATATTGGCTAAATTAGACAGCAGTAGAGACAGCTTAGCATTTTATAAAAATTTAAAAATACAATTAGTATACTAAACTTTTTATTTTAGTTGTATATATGGTGGTGGGGCTCGAGTCCTGTAATTAATTAGTCATAGTCCAAATAAATAAACTGAATTTTAAAGGGGGGAATGGAAGAAGATAATTATTAAGTTCAATAGATCTTCCTAACTAGATCTCTAATCCAAATTTTTGAAATTAAGTGAGGAACTTTATCCCTTACATTAAAATCTTCAAAGCTACGTCAGTAATTTAATGGTAAGTATATATAATTATTTTAAGTTGAATGGCATTTTACAAGAAGTTCAAGGGATCTAGACCCCTTCACGTTTGCATAAGACCAAGGTAGTGAAGAGTGGAATGCGTAATAGGGGTTTTTTGTAGAAATATATGCATAAAAAATAAAATTTTCACCATCTCCTCCAAACGAAAAAGAGATTGTATCTTAACTATTAAAATATTTTTGTACTGGTATTTATCCCCATCCATCTTTAATTACGCATCTGCTTCCACTGTACATTATTAAAATTATCTTTTCCACCTTAGACGAATTCTTAAATACGTTACTGTATATATATACTACCTAACTCAACTTAAACCATCTATCTATTACGTATGAAATCGTAATAAGGTTTAGACTTAAAGCCACGTATCAACCAAAATTGTGATTTTTTATTTATTAGTCTATTTCAACCAATATATCAAATATTTATTAATGTGAAAATGGTGCACCATTAATTATATTAGAAGGTATAATTTTTTTTTTTTGAAGAAATACATTTTTTTCATTAGCTTAAATGGAAAATAAAAAATTAATTTTGTTCTCCTGAAAGGTAAAAAATTTGGATGATACGTTTCTGTAAATCTAAATCCTCCAAATAATGTGATGGATATTTACGATTTAAATAAGAACAATTAGAACTTCATTGGTAAATTCAATTTGTTTTGTAAGTTTTTAATTCGAATTAACGAGTAATTTTATAAAATAATAAGTATATATCAAATATACACTCCTTTGATTGCGTTTTTGTTTTCTTAAATGAAACTCTCATTCCAAAATCCTCTCAAATCAAATTTTTGATCACAATATTTTGCAAATGTCTAGTGGGCATAAATCACGTATAAAAAAAAAACGCAACACACTTAACTGCCTATTAAGAATGTTTAATCAGCTTCTCCAAATTATCACTTAAAAACAAACATTTCGACTTTTCTATTTTCCTAAAACTAATATAAACTTGTTATCTAGTTATGTCTAGGGATCAGCATAAATTTCAAACAAATTAAAATCCAAGCATTCTGATGAATTTATCTCGATATTTATACAAAAGCTCCATAGTATTTTCAAAGTGACACCCATCACTTTTATCTCAATCCCTCCGAATTACTTATTACCCCTAAAATCATAATTTATTATTTTACAAAATTCTTCATATCACTAGGTTTAAAGGAACCCTTTTTTTGTTATAACACTGAAAGTTTTAAACTTAAAGAGAAAATTACGGATTGTAAACATTTTTTTCTACATAATAAATTTTAAAGTTTTCAATGCATACTCAAATTTAGTTTTCAATGCGTCCAATTCCAGCTCATTCTTTTTGGATGTGTGATCAATAGTTAGTTGCAAAATTTTATTTTCAGTCTTCAAATTCTCCAACTGTTGTTCATCCGCATTGTGGATTCCTGGGTTGTCCAATATTAACGCCTAAATTTTAGGTAAAATCACCTTTTACTAATTGTAGTTGTTTTAAGAGAGTAAATTATTCTTAACTTTTTGTATAAAAAAGTAACTTAAAAAAAATCATAGTTTAAAAATAGCAACAAATTCATAAATAAATACAATAGAACAATAAGGGAGATCTGGGCACGAGAGCAATAAAGATTACAATGCTATTCATGGTAGGAATCGAAACCTATCAAGAATAGCAAAATACTGTCTGCAGCTTTAATGATTAAACTTTTGGTATTACATTAGAAGTATACGATTTTGTTGTAATTTATTTAGATTTTTATTTTTGACAATAAGATCCGAATAAAAAGAAAATAAATCATATTGTGTTTGATAACATGTTTATAGGTCGGTATTTTTTTTTGCTCTTCACTTAAAAATCTAAAAAAGTTGATAATTTACCGACTTGATACAAAAATATTGTGTCACCATTTTGATTTAGAGGGTGAATTACCCCACACATTCTCTAAAAACCGCTAATGATAAATTTAACTGAAAATAAGTTGATTTACTTTTATAAGAAGATCACGATTTTGTTGGTCCTGTATCAACGTAATGGTAGCTTGTTGAATATCATGTTTTTTTTGTAATAATTCTTGTACTAATTCTAAAACAGTAGATTGGACTTTTTCTTTTCCTTTAAGAAGTGATAAAATAGAAGAATTTTCATTGATTATGTTTTTTTCCGTAATGTCTAATGACTGAATTTTTTTAATTTCTTGTAAATTATCGTTAGGAACATTTAAATTTGGCTTTTCATTTTGTTGTATCAATCCACTCAACCAAGAAGGCATGTTTTCTATTAAAAGTAGTTAAAAATATAATTTCTGTGTATAATTTTCGATTTTATATTTTTAACTTTAAAATGCTATAACTTTTTGAAAATTTATAATTTTTTATAATTTCTCCGTAAATATCACAATACTAAATTATTAGTTTTTTCATGAGAAAAAATATTTATATCCTTCTATTATTCGACATATTTTTTTTTTAAATAACATCATTTCCTTTTATATATTATATATATATATATATATATATTTATTCATATATTACACTTATAAATCATAAAACTTGTAATCAGGATATAAATAAGGAAATAGATCATGTAGCTTTTGGAATAATCCACTATTTTTTTTAAATTAAACACTATCTACAGATTTGAATCGAAGCGATTTTTATGATAGTGATTTTAATCACTGTCAGATATCATTATACTTGATCCAACTATGCCACGTCCCCGCTGTGCTGGTTTTTTTTTAATAATAATTTCTAAATAATGACATTAAAAATGACCAAACATTATTGAATTCGTTAGTGAAAATATTAAAGTAACACTAAGTTTACTTTAATGTCAGTCGAGACATTTATTTAGGTTAAATTATTTAATCTAATACTTTGTTATAGTGCCCAGTGGTGTATCTAGAAAGTTATTATTGATTTCAGAAAGGAATTTTCTATATAAGAAACTTTTCTCCTTTACATCTAACAATATAATTTTTTCAGTTTCTTGGAGTTAAATACAAAATAATTCCGAAATATCCCTTTATTAGTGCCATTTAGTCAATAGTCCTTTAAAATATACTCTGTATAACGTAAACTATCTGTTGATGTAATTTACAAATATTAAAGATTTTGGATTTCAATATATGATTTCAAAAATAATGTTTGCTACGAATTAAAATTATAAATATATATTTCTAAGTTTTAAATTTTAGCGTTATATCAATTTCTGATTATTAATTTCATTATAATGGACAATAAATTTATGTAAGAAATTCTCACCATGATTAATTTGCCTATCAGATTTAATTTTTGATTTCTGTTTTAAATCTTTTGTAAAAGTTATCGATGGAGAGGTATCTCGCCGTTTTGATATAGTATCAAGCGTTGTTAATTTACCAGTTTCTGAAATTTCTTTAGTTGAATTGACATCGGGTAAAACCCCAAAGTCAAAAGAATTTATGTCATTTTTCGAAATTGTTCTTTTATTCCTTTCGGTATTAATTATATCACTACTTATATCGTTATCGATGTTTACAATATTGTCATCATTATCAAATAATAAACCTTCTGATCGAGATGTTCTATGAGTACCATGTTTTTTTAAGTTATTACGTCTATTAACATTAGAATTTCCCACGACAGTAGGTTCATAGACCATATCTTCGCTATCTGATAGTAACCCTAACCAATCTTCGGCCTTTCGCGTTGATGCAGTAGATGGTTGTTTCTGAATTTTGTCGTTTCTGGAATTTAGGTTAAAATTATTATAAAAAATAGAATGAACTATATTACTTGCATTTATAATGAATCAAAGTAGTGGTTCCACTTTGTGGTTCTTTTAAGAATTCTGTGTGGTCCTCGCTAAAACTAAATTTACTAGGGATACATTAGGAGATCACTCCTTCTCTATTATTCACAGCCTGCAAGGAATTTTCATATTTTATATTTTTCCTTTTTTTAAAATCCTAGTAGGAATCGCTGAGTTAAAATAATTAATTCATATTTAATTAAATATTATCTCTTAGACATAACTTGGGTCATATGAAATTTATATATCTATGATTTTAAAATTTTTTTCAAGCTAAGTTCAACTCTGTCTGCAATTTTATATTGTTTTACTTATTTTAATATTTAAGTTAATATAACTAAGTAAATCATGAGAATATAACTTACAATTTTTCTAGTCCTACCAGTTTACTATTGTCATTTAATACATATTTATCCATTTCTAGTACATCCCAATTATTTGTAATATCTATAAAACAAAAAATAATATTATTTATATGGGTTAAATAATAGAATAGTTTTTAAACTTTTGAACTATGTCTAAAACATAACTTACTGATTATTATTTTTATGTTATTAAGTTGTTTATAAATAATCGAAAGTTCAACAAAAACAGATTAAAAATCACATATAACTGTACTTCTAAAATAGAAACAAAAATTGTGTTCAGGCATGTACTAAATTATACAAAATTTTAATTCCAAAACCACATAATTTATCATTCCATTTGCATAGTTGCATTATGATTAAATTTTCCGTTGTTATGTATATATGATTTGACAACTTATAACAAGAAACGACAAACGTAAAATAAAATATTGGCAATTAGTTAGAAAACCATAATATAATTTAACAATTATGTATTTAATAGAATGATCATAAAAATTATTTTTGTTTTTTTTTTCATATGACACCTATTTAATTTATATTAAAGACTTTAAAAATTAGGTGTGAAAAATTTAGACTGATGTGATAAAGCAAACATGTGTATCTCTGAAGTTTAGCTTTTATTATATAAAAAAATATACAGAGTGATTCGTTAATCATAATTACATTGACTCAATTACTTACCAAATAAAAATAATTTCGGAAATATATTTTTAGTTACTCGTATATTTTGATTTAACAATTATTAAGACCTTTTTGGTTCATCGCATAAAATTAAATATAGATAATTTTCTGTATTATTAGCAAAAATTTAACGTAATTAAAAAAAAAAGATAAACGTATAGTTCTGTATAACATTTATTAAAATTTTGCATGTAATGTTTTTTTGAAATTGTAAAGTTGCTCTATTTTTCCTATTAACATTTTTTTCATATCTCTACGTCTGAACACCAATTTAAGACGTGTTCTTAATAATAACATCTTATTTTTCTAATATAATTATTAGCTTAATGTAAGCTATAAAATTATTAAGATTAGAATTATTCAAGAAATAAATGTGGAATTTTTGTAAAAATTTAGTTAATTAAAATTTTCAAGTTTTTAAAAATTTGAATAAAAATTGAAAGGTTTTCTACAAAAACATGGTAGATAACTGATTTAACACTTTCATTTAAAGTTAAATGTCGTATGTTGCAAAATATTCTTTATTTCATTTTGAGAAAAATCCTCTATGTGTATTTATTTTTAAGTAATTTAAAAAGTAATATCACAAATACAATCGGTTTATGGAAGCTTTAAAACGAAGTATAAAATTTAGTTAACGATTCTTTAAAATTAAAAATCATAAAGCTAATTTTTAATGCAAATCCTTCAATTAAAAAAAATATATATATATTTGTTACATTTACTACATTTTTACATGGTTTTTAACTTAGTGTTCAAGGACTAATTAAAATGACATTAAACTCAAAATTCATACATATATATTTAACTAAAATGTAACCTGCTTATATAATCAGAATTTAAAACAATTTACGTATAATCGTATTATTCTAAGTGCTTTAACTACATTTGGGTAAGATAATGTAAATCATATTCATTATATCTTCAGAGTAGTTATATTTTATGTAAAAGAAAATTTTTCTTAGCATAGACAGTAGAAAGGGAGTACAATCAGCGCAATTGTATACGGCCGTACAAATGTAAATAAAATTGATAATTTTTTTAACTAAAAAATTTTTTTGAGCTGACCACTTATTTATGTATTATAAAATGTATAAAAATAAGAATAAAATTGTTTAATATTTAATGTTAAGGCGACTAAATTTAGCTTTAAATAGAACTATTAGAAAATAATTTAAAATATACAAATAAGTTTGATTACCAGCATTATTGGAACTTCTTATTACTGTTGCGTATAGTATCTATCTGTAACCTAGGGGCATTTTTTATGTTAACTTTGTTGGTAGAAGGGCGAATTTTAGATATTTTTATCAACTAGTTTGAAAATATTTAGCGCAAATAGTGTTTGAACTTTAGGGTGTTTCATTTTCAAAGAATAAAAAAAATTTTCTCGTAGTTCTACAAATAAAATCCACAATCTTATTTTTGATCATCCTTACCCATTTGAAATTAGATATAAATTGTATGAATATTCATAACATGACTAATAATATAATACGTTGGTAAATCTAATTGTATTAGACGAATAAATACATTTTAACAATTCCATCTTTTATCAACATTTTATTTATAACTTTAAAACATATAGATAAACATGCAGCAAAAAAATATATTATAGCTAAATTTAACAATATATGTAATAGTCTTATTTAAAAAAATTAATTTAGAAATGGCTTCATCAAATAATGCACTTATGAACATATTTGAAAAGAAGTATGTATAGACCTGTATATTTTAGGTACACTGTTATCATTTTTTTATTGAAAATATTGTATGGAGGGCGATCCCTCCTATTATGAGGACCTAATTTTATTACCTTAATTTGTATTTACCGTCTGATATTTTGCAAAAAGTATCAATAAATTGTTCAATACATTAAAAAAAAACATTGTGTGAAATGTATTATTGAATTAACTATATTATGTAAATTTTTACCTGTCATGACTCAATCATGGTATTGAATAATTGTAATACAAATAATTACATAATTTTAACTAAGTATGTCTGTAACACTTATGTCATAGTAAAAATATTGTATTAAGTATTGATAAAATGTTAGCTATTAAGAGACCAAATTTTTATTGTTTATGTTGTATATTTTTCATTGCCATAGCAACAAAACTGCTTGTATAATTTCTTAGTTGTTAAATTTTTGTTTACTCTGCTTTCTAACATTTTTTAATATTGTGGGTAGTATTAACTCACTTTGTTGAAGATTTTAACTTTATTTTAAGATTTTTAGATTTAATAAATGATTGGAACTAAGAAAAGTGGTGTGCCCAATGAGAATACTTAGTACACGAACCTTCTTTTATCAGAAACTTAAATAATTACTATTAACAGTAATAAGAGAATTATTTAAAATTACTATTTTCTTGTATTTAAACCATATTAATTATGTTAATAGATATTAATAAATAATTATATGTAACTTTAGGCCATTACAAAGTAAGTGCATTAGAAAATTTCAGATCTTAATTTATTATTTGATTATTCAAAAATAGTAAAAAACATGAAATAAAGTTCAACACCACTTCAGAGGATACAATAAAATAGCAATTTGTATACAATATTTATATGACTTTACCTATATTTTTAATAAAGATATCAGAAATAATTTTTAAAGTGCAAAAAATGTGTTTAATAAAATATATTTTTTATTTTTATAAATATTCTTAGTTGTTAGTGTTGATATAATTATACCTAGCATGTCATAAATTTAAAACTTGGCTGAAATATTTGAATATTTATTAAGTAATAAGTAGAGATATTATATTTTAAATCATATTATTTTGGTGCTGATAACTTTTATGTTGTCCAAATAATAACGATGAATCAAAAAGATTATAGTTTGATATGAATCTACTAAGACATTTTAATAAATAATTTTTTTTAATTTGATTATTTCAAACATTATGTTTTAGTTTATAAGTAAAATTCCCAACAAAGTTGGAATACATAAAGAATTTGGCAATTTTTTAGCACTACTAATTAGTTATAATATAACCTATTTATCTGCCTCTGTTTTGAAAGTAAATTGTGTCTGTCTATGAAAGCCCTTAAGAATTTCTGATTAAAAAAGTTTCACTTTTTTCAGTAATTATATTATAATTTATTTAAAACTTTTTTAATCATATTTTTATAATATTGTTTTTTATAACAAAGCAGTGTCCTATAAGTGCCCTCCACATCTGATAAGTTTGGACTTTTAAGACATTAATCTATTGGTTAGATTTTAAAATAAGTGCTTGATTTAATTAAAAGAATTATTTAAATTCAAGAAAATACAATAGATTGAAAAATAATCAAAATGCAATATTCAACTTAAATTATACTATTGAGATAGTTAACATAAAAAAATATAAATGCACACTTATAACTACTATTACATTTATGACAACATAAGGAATTTAAATATTTAAAAAATAATAAAAAAAACTTAATCTAGTTATATTTAACATACATAATTAACTGATACATATGATGTACAATCAAATCTTTTATAATCATTTTTTTAAAATAAACTTATTAAACATAAATTCATTATTAAAATCAATTGTTTGGTTAATAAAACAATTATTAATGAAAGAAAAATAACTTTTTTTAAATTATTATCTATAAAAAATACTACTAGTAATAATACTAGTAACAACTAATAATATTATGAAACATAACAAAATTGAATATTTTTCAATAAAAAAAAATATATAAAAAATAAATATTTTTGCTTCATAATTTTTATCAAAATATTTTTTTAGATTTTATTTAATAAAATTACAGTTAATAAAAGTCAATTGATATTCCACATATTAAGTTAAAATTGATATGAATAATTAAGTTTCATTAAGTAATAAAAATATTTACATAAATAATAATAATAATAATAAAAAACATATCAAAAATTATTTTGAGTTAATAGAGATTGAAATAGTCTTATAATTATTAATAAATTGTTATTTATAATACTTGTGCTCAGAATTGAGAAAATTACCCCAAGTATAATAAAAAAATAATTTTAAGTTCATTTTGAGACTAATTAGCTAAAAAAATTAATTGTGATAGCTAAGTAAATAAATTTTGAAACAATGTTTTTTTTTTAATTTGTAAGAATAATTAAAAATAATTAGAACATTGAATTTTTGATCGTAAAATTTGTTTAAGTTAAAATACAGTACCACTTTATAATTGGTTAGTTATTCATAAAATTAATACACATGTCATTCCTAAGTTCCTATAAGAATAAATACAGAGTATAAAATATTAGATATGGTTATTAAATTATTTCAAAAGAAAACTATTGTATCATTTCTTCATCATCTTCTTCATCGCCATAATCAGGATCACTTATGGTTGGGACAACTGATCCTTTTAATGGACAGTATTTACACCTAGTAATATACATGTATAAAGTGTTCAAATTAAATTAAATTAGAATTAATTAATACCTGCTTTCATTTATTCCATAATTCATACAACGATCACCAACACATTCACAACAACCATCATGAAACCATCTATAACTTTTAGATCCCATTGACATGCATGATGCTTTACATTTGTTCCATGATAAACAATGGCTCATGTAAACTACAGAACAATTAAGTGTAATAACATTCTTCATAGGAGCAACTTCTTGTGCAGAATTTTCTATAATATTATATTATATCATTAAATAAAACAAAAACATTATCAGAGTTGAATAAATTTAGGAAAAGAGATAAGAAGGTATTATAGAACTACTACCTCAATTTTAGTATCATAAAATCCAAGATGTGATCTGTATTACAAATAAATATAAAAATAGGAGATTCAGTTTTATTTATTATCATTTGTAAAATTTTTTGTTCTGTAATGAATAACATTGTGGATGTTAAAATTTTCGGGGAACATAGTAATGAGGTAAATAGAGAGGGGGCTTTATTTCAATATCTTACATGAGGGGATTTTTTTAATGCAAACCATTTAATTTTTACTAAAATAACAATTATATGTCATAATTACTTTTTTAATTCATCCTTATATATACTTATATAATATACCTTATAAAGATATCAACCCAATATTTTTAAATTGCAACCATTTTATATAATAACATTTTAAAATATAGACTAGTGGTGAAGTGTGGGTATGATAGTATTTATCATTAGACAATTCTTAGCTACATCATCCTCCTATTTAAGTATCAAAATATTAATAACTTTTTAAGTATAGATCCAAAAGTTGGTGTCGACTATTCTTAATAGGATTATTTTTTTATTTTTAAGTTAATTAAATTTAAATGTTGCCATTAAAAATATATAGATAACATACATATGGTATAAGGAAAGAATTTAAAAAGTATTTAATAATTGATGAGCCAAGAAATATATAAAACTAAAAAATTCCAATAATAGTTTTCTTAACATAATTATTATTTAAAGAAAAATCGAGTGGCTAGCATTAAAATGATTACTTTGCAATTTTAGCACCCCCATGATATTTTTGTAAGTTGCGCCAATTTATTTACAATAATTTGTTTATTTACGTTGTAATAATTTAAGTTCTTTTTGGAAATCAGGTTTAAAAACTTCAATGTCAAAATCAATTGGAAAAGTTAATGCCTCCCAACGTTGCTGAACATCAGGTTCAGAAACAAGTGCATAAAATAATGTCATAATAGGTTCTGGTAAATCTTCCACATGACTTTTTCTACTAAGAGCATTAGTTGTAACATTAGGTTTTGGACACATATCTAAAACATTCATTATTATAAAATACATACAAAAATTGATATAGTTGAATATACAAGTTGATTATTTAAATATAAATTTTTTTATTGGTTTCTTTATTTATTTTAATATTTCTCTTAATTTATCAATTATGAAATAATCTTTTTTTTCATTCATTTTATTTTATAAGGGTGTAAACTTTAATTTCTCAAATTGCAACACACATAATTTACTAGCTTATTTAATAGATAATGATCTAATTGAGAAAATGACAGGTTGATAACAAATTTTGGACAAGTATTTTATAAGATATTAGCATGTTATAGCGATAGCTGCAGATGAGACACAAATGGCATTTATGAACCACAATATATTCCCACCTTAGTATAAAAATTTCAATAAATTCTGAAATACTGGTCCAAAAGTTTTTATAAAACAATAATTTTCTTAATTAGATTATTATCTTTTAAATAGAGTAGATATTTATATATGTTGCTATTTAAAAAATAAAGTTTAACACTTTTATAATGTATAAGAAATTAACATAAAACTGTATTTTGATAAATTAAAAAAAAAAAAATATATATATATATATATATATCAAAATTATTTTTATTAATTAAGTAGTTCATGATAAATGAATCACTCAGTATATACATTTGTTAAAAATTATTAATGATAATGGATATATAATAAATAAAAGTCTGAATAATATTCTTTGAAAATAACCAACATATAATATTTTCTAAAAAGTTTGAATTATTCTTTTTTTATTCTTTAAAAAATCAGTGAAATATGCTAAAAATATTCTTTTATATGCATAAAAATAATTAATTAACACTAAATTAATTTTTACTTTTATTTTTCAAAGAAAAAAAATTAATTCTGTTTAAGTATAAATTTTAATTAAATAAAATTGAAATAGTTTTTAATTTTTAAAACTTTTTTATATAAATAATCTTTTTTTTCTAAAAAAAGTTTTATTACTTAATAAATTATAACATAACAGCAAAATACATTGAAATTTTATCAATGTATTTTTTTAGATGGAAAATATTTTTTTATCATTAAATATTCTCAAATATGCAAAAAAAATGTTTATTATTTAATTAAACACTTCATAATACATTGAGATTTGGAACCACTATTTTTCTGTGAAACCCAAAAAAAAAAATTTTTAATAGAATAAAATTCTGACCTCTAGCAATGAAAAACATGATAAATCAAAGCATTTTACAGGGTACAAGTCATTGTAAGACTACATACTACACTATCTTGATTAGGGAACTTGGTAATAAGTTTCTCATAAATATCCATATGGATAAACTTAAATACATAGTTAAGGATATATATATAAAAATATTATTTTATAAAAGCTATAAATAAAATATACTCTATTAAGATATTTTACTTCCTCTTAAGTTCAAAAATAATAAAGTAATTCATATTTAATGATATTCCTAGAGTTATTTTTACTCAGGGCTGTCCCAAGAAGTGGCTCGGAAAAGGGTGTCACACCGCTACGTAATAATATTTAATAATTTTTATTAACAATTTTTTTTATATATTTCAATATATGAAGATACTTAAAAAAAAAATTTAAATAAATCAAATAATATGTTCCAAAAAAAATATATCAGTCTGGAAAAATAATTTAATTTTTATAATTTTAATACTTTAAATCCCAAAGCTTTGGCATGGTCCTGTTATTATAACTGGGTAGAAAAAAGAAGGATATTTAATATTTGAATAATACTATCATTGAGTTTTATACCCCACTTAAATATTAATAACCAATGAAAATCAAAAGATAAAAATATTACAACTGTTATATTAAAACAAACAAAAAAAATCTTGTTTAAGTCAATAAAACTATGAGAATTGGAAATGATTAAATGTGGCATTAAATATAAGTTGCAAAATTGATTTAAAAAAATGTTAATACTTCAGGTGAAATGATTTACTCTACGGGTCTTCTTTGGCCTAGGAAAAAACTTGTGTGAGAAATATACATTATAATATAATGTAAAATATATATTATATATTTTAATTTGTTATGATAGATAAAATAATAACTTATATTTTAAAGATTAATATTTTGAGTTATAATAGAAATTCATCAAACTTTACATAATAATTCAATAACATTTTATTTTCATTATTATAGTTCACACTTATTTGATAGTAAAAACCAAGTAATCAGTATGGTTACCACTCACCAACACAAGAACAGCATTCGCTATACAAATTATTCAGGCAGCTGAAACATTCTTTGCAACAAGAACAGTTGGCCAAATCACACTTACACGATTGTGTGATCATGCATTTAGACACGATTGATGCACAGACAGCCTCATTACAAGCATAGCTAATGTATATAAATCCAGCTAAAGAGCCAATTACAGTAATGAGAAAAATATTTTTCATTGTGATCTTACATGAATTAAAACTAAAAATAAATTAAAGTTTTATTATAATATTTAACAAGATATTTAAATTTATTTATTATCAACCGAACCAACGAAAAACAAAAATTAAAATATTTATTTTTTGAACACAAAAATACACGCTTTTGACTGTCGAATTAAACGGGTGATAAGATTATCGATACCATAAAATACAAAGGCAAGTATAATATACCAGTATACTACACACCTTCTGAACATATAACAATTCAAACATTTGCTTATCATACCTTCAAGTTATCAAGAGTGACTTAATATCACTGGCTTATTAATAGGTAATAATAATGTATTGTATATATGTAAATTAACGCAAAAGAAATGGTTTAAGAGTACAGTACACTAATATAAATGATCGTAAAGCAAAAAAAAAATAATGTATACACAATAATTCATACATTTATAATATAAACAAAATTAAGTAATATATGCATGACTAAACATTAACTGAACCTGATAACTTCAAGTTTTATTTCTGACGTTAAAAATATTTTTTAAGATAGCACAATTTATCTTTGAAGAAATCGAATTATTGGAATAAGAAGTAATTCTTAAGTCTTTCATTTTGTACTTTTTACGACGATAATTTAATTAACCAAATAAAGATCATAGAGGGAAATGTATTTAGAATAAAACAAAATAACCCATATTGGCTGAAAATTTATTACACATCAATACGTTTTATATTATAACGGATTAAAATTTTTTACTTCAAAAAAACCTAATTAAGTTTGTTTCTTTTTTTTTTCAATAGCTACAATATAATAGTTCTTTCTACCTTATAACCATTAAAATTTGAATAGGAATGAATTAAACTTTTTACTACTGATTAGTTATAATAAATGTTAAACTTACATTAGCATATGAAACATAATGCTCCAACATCAGTGACATACTTAAGAGTGCCGCCAGGAAAATATTTAATCCTTCTTAAATAACCTCGTTTATATTTTTTTGAAATTTATAAAACAAAATGTAAAAATTATTATTTTTAGAATACAAAATAATTAAGAGGTTAAAAAAAATTAATTTTTTTTTCAAGTAATATTTTAGAATAAAAAAATACTAATTTACAAATAATTAAATTGTGGCTAAAATATTAATGGTTAAGAAAACAAAATTATTAGTTTTCAATAAATAAATAGTTATTGATTAATTAATTTCTATTAAAAATGAAAAGAATTCATAATACATATTATCAATTAACAAACATATATTGAACCTAAATCTTAAGGGTATTAAAATTACAATTATTGTCAAGCAATAGGTTAATAATATTTGAGTGAGATTTTTTTGATTTGTCACTTTTAAAAGTGCAAATTAAGATTAAAAACGAGAAGTGCTAAACAAACTCGTAATAAGTAGTTCAATAGACATAAAAAATCCAGGAAACAACATAAATATTTAATTTAAAATAATAATTATTGCAGTGGAAAATAAAATTTAAATTTTTCTCAAATTGTTTAAATTAGTTTTACAGACTTAACAGACATTTTTTTAGATTAGTATTCGTGGATGTCTGGAGGGCATGTAATTAATAGGAGATGTTATTGCATCACCCTCGAATGTTTTGTAATGCTAACAAAAAATCTAATGCAAAATATACGATCCTATATTCCAAATCTATTAATTTGAATTTGATTTATTGTCAATGTAAGATAAATTCTGCGGTAACTGTTATTAATATAATTCTAAAAACCATAAACGTTATTTAAGGGTACAACAGGTCAGTTATGTACGGTTTTGTTATGGATTAAGGAAATAATATGTATTGTCTGTTTATTTTTAGGTGAATAATATTCCCGGTGTCTATCCGCCTCTGGTATTGAACGTATATTATTGTAATTATATTAATAATAATAAAATTATATATGTTCTTGTAAGAGAAGTGTTATATGTATTATATAATAGGTGTATTGATTAATATTATGCCATGATTAGAGTGGTATAGTAGGTGTGTACATAAACTTTTTTCAAGAGCGTTGGACAATTTTTTTAGGGTTGTCAATAATTTTTGCACCCCTGGGAAATTTTTCTGCAAGCATCTCTGTTATATTATAGCATAATATAAAACTCAAGTAACGCTTCTAAAACATGATCAGGATCAAAATTGAATACAATTTGTACCACAAAATAAATTTTATTTAATGCCTTTTTTGACTATTGTTTTCCCCTCAAAAGAACTTTTAACTTTATTTATAGATAAATTCATTGTATGTAGAAAAAAAGAGATATATTGATTTATATCATTAGATACATTTCTAGATGTGCATATATCATCCCTATAATAGTTATATTGAAAAACATGATTGAAACACTAAATTTGTATCAAACTTTATATAAAAACTTGAAATTATAATGTGAAAAAGAATAATTAGGAAGAGTTTAGTCCCTCTAAAATGTATAAAATTATACTTATTTTTATATAAAATCATATTTTTGGATGGGAACAAATTATTTTGAACCAAAAAATATTTTGTTCTAGATGTGCCTGTAACAAGGGGCCAAAAAATTAGAAGTTGAATTATTTTTAGAGATTTGTGTGCAATTTGTTATTTTTTTTTTATAAGTGCAATAGTATGTAAAAGATACTAATACAATGTATTAGTGTTTACATAATATTGTCGATTTCAAATCTTCATATATATATTTTAGATCTAGAGAAGCTGATAAGGGAAAAATGTATATTTAAAACAATTTACTATTATAAAATATAATTTTATGTATTTCTCATTGTTATTCATAAACATTAAAATAAAAATTGACAAAATAGTAATGGTAATGAAAATTGATCTTAAATAGATATAATATTTATAAATACACCCTACATGTACACTTATTGAGTTGACTTTATAATCTTAAACTTTAAGTTATACATACTGCCTTTTATTGACTTTATACAAATTAATAGGCTATATTATGTACAAGATAAATATTCACTTATATAAAAATAATATACAGAACTTATTACTTGTTCCAAAATTTAGTTCCACTTGTCCTAATTCCTTTACCAGTCTTTTTTGGAGGTCCACTTGTATCTACTGACATTTCTTCATCTTGAATTTGGGCTCTTATTGCTTTTTTAACATTTGCTACTTCATTTTCAACAGCTGCTCTATGTTTTAATACATCTTGTTTAGTCCTATTAGCATCAACAATACGTGCTTGAACAGTAGATAATACACTCTCGCACGAATCACACCATTGTTGAAGAGTATCTATCATAGTATTTATATCATTAGGACCTACATCTCTACCAACAGTCCAGTCTACTTCAAGATATCCACTTTGTTGATCAAGTTCACCAGCTACAATATCAGAATAAATAGCTTCAATAATAAGGTCTTCAAGGTCTCTAACATTATTAACATTAAGTTCTTTTAAAAGCACATCATAAGGTATTCGTTTCATTTTATTAGCTAATGTTACAATTGTTAAGTATTGTAATTTTTTAATTTGTGATGAATTCAATTCTGGTAGACATTCTTTTTTGCTTAAATAATCTAAGTATGTTCCATGGGAAAAAATACGTAAAACATGTAAGTATGAAGAGTTAGAAGTAGATTCTAGTTCAATAACATTAGGACATTCTAAAAGCTCTGCAAAAACAAATGTATCGACGCAATCAAGTGCTCGCTTGATAACTTCAACCAGCTCTTCACCTTTTGCCTTTTGAGCTTGAATGACAAATTGTTGTAAAGGTTTCTCCAAAACTTTTTCTTGAGACATTGTTTTTTATATCTAAAATTTTCCCAATCTTACACTAAAAATATTTTAATAACCATTGAAATTATTAATGAATATTAGGAATAATATAAATAATAAAAATTCAGTATTATAACAATAGAAAAAATTTTATCAGCATAACACAAGAGTAAAATAAATTTAAATATTTAACTTGAAAGCATAAAAGACGAATGCAATTACGGTACTGTTTTTATTTTTACAATTACCTAAATTACTAAGAATTTACAATTTTTATGATATAACCTTAAAAAGTACATAACATTTGGAAAAGTAAGTGGAACTGTATTGTTCCACGATCAAAACAACGTCATATCAAATAAACGATAAATACATAATGATAACTCAAAAGAATAGTGATTACTAGAATTATTGACGCCTGACAACACTGACTACAATAAAAAATAAGTAATTGTATGGTTTAATCTTGTGCCTCGTCTGCAAGATACGGTCTTTAGTTGCGAAAATAAAATCACTGCATAGTTTCTTGTGAGTGTCCACATACAGTTGGGTTGAAATTATCAAACTTACTATCTAATTTAAAAAATTGACACCATTCATAAAACAAAACTTTTAGCTGTGTAAATTATTAGATTTTTTAAAATTCAAAAAATGGAGGACGATCTTCCTTCTAAGTACGAAGTCATCGTAATAGGCACTGGTAATTAATTCCATATGTCTGCTTTTTGATAATTACAAAGTATAATTAAAAACTGAACAGAATTGTATACCTATTTTAATAAATTAATGAAAATAAAAGATTATATTTTGAATTTTTTTTTATTGCATAAATACTTCAATAATATATTTATGGTAAAATATTAAGTAAAAATTCATATATTTCTTTTGAAATATTAATACTTTAATAGTCAATTTAAAATTTAATATTTTGATTTTAATATGGCAAAGAAAAAATGATGTTTAAGTAATTAATCTAGCAAAGAAAGATTAAAATATCTTTGACAACTTATCATTATATGTTTTTTGTTTTTATCCAAAAAAAATACAATTCTAATAATTGAAAAAAATTATCTCAATGCTATTATTTGTCTTTTAACTAAGATAATCATTCTTTAGAGATTCTAGTAACTTAGATTTACCATTGTATTTGTACTTTATAATATATATTTTTAATTTATTACTTGTTAGCCAAAGCTACAGATATATTTATATTTTATATTATTTTTATTTAATCAATAATATTAATGGTCAAAATTCATTTTAAGTAGAATGTATTAAAAATAAAAATTTTTTTTTCTTTTTTGACAAACGGTTCACTGAACGGTTGTGTAATCAGTTTTTTATGGTCTATTAGTCACAGTAACAGCAAAATAGGTTTTCATTTGTAATTTTTTTCTGTAAAATCTATTCAATTCAATGAATCAAAAATAATGGATAGTGTTTTTAGATCATATAGTGTTGTATAAAATTAAATTTGAACTATAAAACATGTTAACTTCAAAAATATTATTTAATATAATGTTTCTCTGGCGTTCAGTAGCATATAATAAAAATTATAATTTTTTTTTATACCTATAAAAGAAAACAAAAACATAAGTCAAGTTCTTCAAATTAAATTTTTATCTTACAGGTATGACAGAATCTATTGTTGCAGCAGCAGCAAGTCGTATTGGCAAACGTGTACTTCATTTAGATGGGTGAAATAAATAGTTTTTAATTTTTATTTATTTATTGATGATTCTTATGATTTATAATTTATAATGTTTTATAATTTGTAATATTTTATAGAAATGATTATTATGGTGGAATGTGGGCTTCATTTACATTTGAAGCTCTTCAAAAATGGCTTAATGAATGTCAAAGTGGTAAAACATTAGAAAATTCAAAAGAGTCAACATCTTTAATCTGTGAAAAAGAAAAGGCTGTTTCTATTGGCAATCAATTTTCTACAGTGTTTAATATTGAAGAAAAATGGTTTATTCCTGAGTATAATCTTTAATTTTAGATGAAAATATACGAAAGTATACTTATATATTTTGTACATTTTATTAGAAAACTTCCATCAAATTGTAATTTTCAAAGTGCTAAAATTACTCAAACTGAAGAAAGTCCTAAAGAAAATAAAGACGGAGAAATTGAGTCTGAAACTACATTAAAGCAAAATGATAAACTTTGGTGTCAGGAAAAAATTAAAAGTTTAGGTCGTAAATTCAATATGGATTTAGCACCTAAAGTTAGTTGAAAATTTTTAAAATTAATCATTTATAAACTGATGTATGTTATTATTTTATTATTATATGTATTTTTTTTATTATTTTAGCTTTTGTTCTCGCGTGGTACATTAGTAGAACTTCTAATTTCATCAAATATATCGCGTTATGCTGAATTTCGTTGTGTTAATCGTATTTTGACATGGCTTGATAATAAATTAGAAACTGTTCCTTGTTCTCGTGCTGATGTTTTTGCTACTAAAAATGTTAGTCTTATAGAAAAACGACAACTTATGCAACTTTTAACTTTATGTGTGGAATACAAACCAGAATGCGATGAGTTTAAAGGATTTGAAGACAAAACCTTGAAAGAATATCTAGAAAACAAAAAATTAACTAAAAATTTAATGCATTATGTCTTGTATGCTATTGCTATGTCTAATGATAAAACACCATGTATGATTGGAGTTGAGAGAACTCAACGATTTTTAAGTAGCCTTGGTCGTTATGGAAACACTCCATTTTTATGGCCTATGTATGGAACTGGTGAATTACCTCAATGTTTTTGTAGATTATGTGCTGTATTTGGTGGTGTATATCACCTCAAACGTGCAGCTAATAGTATTGTTGTATCAGATAATCAATGTAAGGCCATTATATCAGATGGATCAAGACTTGATTGTGACCATTTAGTCTTGGGTGTTTCTGACGCTCCTCCTGAGTTTTTAGGTGCAGCACCAAAGGCTGGACTTTCAAGAGGCATTTTTATCATTGACAGGTCAATATCTACAAATGATAAAGAGTCATTAACATTGTTGCAATTTCCTATTAAAGGAAAGGAACCTATTACTATAATTGAAGCAGGTCCATCAACACATGTCTGTCCTCCAGGACTGTGTATGTTATTTATATTATAATTAACTTTGATAAAAATTTTACTATTTTTAAAATTACTTCTATTAATTATTTTCTCAAGTTATTCTTAAGTAAGGCGAAAACTAGTAAATTTCTTCTTAAGCAAAAGAATATTACATTCCTAAACAATGACCTTTTGAGATAAAAATTTTAAATGTTAAATAAAACTAAAAAAGTATGTCTAGGGATGATTTAGGATGATAAAGTATGTTTCTGAAATAGGTATGTGCAATTTTACTAGTTTTTTTTGTGGCTTTTTGAATTAAATATTCATAATATTTTAAGTATATTTTTAATTTTAAATTATCAGAATTAATTTTTCAATTGAAATTAAATAACTTTTTTATTTTATTTTGATTTTATGTCTTAAAATTTTCTATGAATAGTATTATTTATTATATTGTTCTAGACATACTTCACATGACTACAAGACAAGTAGATAATGCTTTTAATGATTTAAAACCAGCAGTTGATAAATTATTACATTGCGATTTTGCTGATGGAACAACTACCAGAATTGATACCGATACCCAATCTACTCAAACACCTAAAGAAGTAATAATTTACTAAAAAGTTATAAATAAAAGCTAAGTTAAATCATTTTTAGAAAGATACCACTGCATCCAACACGAAGTTAAATGATCAAGCTAATATTTTAAAACCTCAGTTATTGTATTCTCTATATTTTAACTGTCCAGAAACTTCAGAGTATGATTTATCACGTAATGTTCCCAGTAATGTTCATCTATGTTCAGGTCCTGATTTAGAAATAGACTATGAATTTGCTGTTAAACAAGTATGTAAAAATAATAAATTTGTCTGTTTAATTATCATTTATCATTTAAACAAATGTTTTAGGCCAAAACTATTTTTTCGTCCATGTACCCTAATTCAGAGTTTTTACCTCGAGCACCTGATCCAGAAGAATTATCTCTTGAAGTTGATGAAGCTGCTGGGCCTCCATTCCAAGGAACTGAAGAACCCAAAGAAGAATAATTTAAATAACATGAATTCTGAGTTAAAAAAAATGTTATTTTAAGTTTTTAAATGTATGATGTTTCAAAATAGTCTCTCTTTTTCCCTATTTTGTTTTTCAACATACTTTTATTCTTTCCATTCCAATAAAGAATTTTCGTTTATTATGAGCTATTTTATTTCAATTACAAAGTATAGAATAAAATAAGTAAAGCCAAAACTTCATTATCTGAAACTTTTATACACAAATGATAGTCTATTTTTGTTTAAATTATAAATATTCGTTGTGAAGTAAAAAATATTTGTCTTTTAATAATTCTTTTGAATTTAAATGTAATAGGTTTTAACAATTAGAGTATCATCCTGAAAGTTTACAAAATTAAAAGTTTTTTATGTTATTCTATATTTATTGTATTTGATAATAATTATAGTTAAAAAATGAGAGGAGTTAAGGTATTATAGTAAGTACTTAGTAATCTCTACTTAATAATAAACTCTAATAAATGTTATACTTATTAAATAAGTTAAATGTTATGTTGTAACATTTTAACTATTTAATAGTTTTTCCTTATATCCTTATTTTTCTAGTCAACTATGATATGTTTCTGGAACTAAATGTTGCCTTATTATTATAAAACCTTGTTTGTTTTAATATCATTTTATAAATTTGTCTTATTATATGTTTTATTTATTAAAGAAAGTTTGAGTAAATCTAAAAAATTGAATATTTTTATAAATAGAAGTATCAGTTTATTATTCAGTATTTTTTGAATAATGGCAATCATGTCACTCTTAACTATCAAATTATATATAAGACTATTCATTCAAACTATCTCATGATTTATTGTTATGATTTATAATTTATAAAACTTAATACATCTTACAGTTATCGTAAAAATTGTTAATATTTCATATGTATACATTTTTTAAATTTCATTTATATTATAGTCAATTTTATCATGTGAAGGATCATATTTGTTTTGCAGTATTAAATTTAAAAAATAAAATAATTATTTGTAATGTTCTTTAATTTAAATGCTTAAGTAAAAAATATAATAGCTAATGTTTAGCTTAATCAAAAAATAATAAATTGTGATTACTTTTTTAATAGTAAAATAACTGTATAAATTTTATAGATGTAAAAATGAAAAAATTCTTTTTAGTTTCGATATATAGTTGAGAAGGTTTAGTTTTACTCTGCTATGTATTTTTAGTAGACACAGTTACTGGATTTCTCGGTCAATATGCCTGAAGATTTCAAAATCTATCTAGTTGCAGTTATCAACACTATATTTAAAAATTTCCTCTCAATTCCAGTAATAAATAGAAATATCCTAAAAAATTACAGTTGTTAAAAAATAGTCCATGTTGATAGTTTAGTTTTTACTTCATATTGAATTGACTTTTTGAAAACTGGTCGGATTATTGTGATAACAATTTTTTTTTTAATTTTATCATTAACCAAAGTATTGTGAGAGTTTAAAAATTATCAACATTTTTTCTTTTTGATTTTTGATTATGTTCTAAAAAACTTTTTATTTATTTCCACGCGATCGGCATTATTGTAGACCATCCCGGACTGCTGTTAGGAATTACTTCATGACAGCCACGCCGTCTCTAAAACTTACAACATGGCGTGGCCACCATCGTTAACCAGACCCAAAAGTCGAAAANTAGGAATTACTTCATGACAGCCACGCCGTCTCTAAAACTTACAACATGGCGTGGCCACCATCGTTAACCAGACCCAAAAGTCGGGTCCGTTTCCAGGCTGCACCNTCTAAAACTTACAACATGGCGTGGCCACCATCGTTAACCAGACCCAAAAGTCGAAAAACGTGGAAGTGAGGGCAGGACTTCGTGATGATCGGGGCTTACAAACACATACAGCATCCGAAAGGCGCTGGTCTAAACTAGCGCCTCAGGTTCTCCTGTAAAGGGCGGCGGGGTTGCCTCTATTGTAGGCGTTTAGCCAATTTTTTACGGTACATAACCGACGAACGAGACCCCACGCCTCCCGACTTCTAACATCAACATCAAACCATGAACCCGATTCGGAACGTGGATCCCAGTTGAGACTCCAAGGAGTCCCGCTCCTGGGTCAATGCCTCTCATCGGAAGAAGATGTGCAGAGTGTTGTCTGCTTCTCCTGAGCGATCCTGTTAGTAATCGCACGACGGCGCGGCTCCTTTACGGATACCGCGAAGATATTCGTTGAAGCAGCCGTGGCCGGACCGTGAGACCGGTCCATCCACCTCTCCAGGCGGTCAGGTCTGATTTCGCCTCTTGTCGATCCTCTGAGAAGCGAGTTCGCCACCCGAACATTGTCATCCGCTTGAGTGCCCTCAGGTTCGAGGGTTCAAAATCTCGATTTTTAGGAGTTGAACATAAATCCAAAAACTACAATTATTGGTGATAATGATCGATTTTTAAGAGTTCAAGATATATCTATTATATAACGCTACCATAAATAAAATATTAGGAACTTTATAATTATTATTATTAATAATTTGAAGTATTTTAATATGCGATTAATACCATAGACAGACATCGAAATGTTTACCGCCCCTGATTAATACATTTTACTTCCCTTATCGGCGGACCATTCAAAGTTGACCGCCCCCTTTAAAATAATACCTCTAGTTTTTATAATTTTATTAGTAACTGTTACAATAAAATGATTTTATTTTGATAAAAATTCAAACGGATATTTGTGAATTTAATGACTAAAATTGTGTGGTATGTGCTAATTTTCTTGTTGATTTAATACATATTTTAAGTAAATATTTGTAAATATTCCAAAATACAAAATGTTTTTATTTTTATTTATATACTGCAAGTTATGAGTATTTTCGTGCTCTGTAGCAAACGACAATGTATAGTGCAAATCTAAACCGGCTAGAAAATCATTGGTAAGAAGAGGGTTTGCCTACACAAGACCAACATTTTTGTAGTGCTTAAATTTTTAGGTGTGTATTTATGTATAGTGTGTAATCCTTAAAAACTAAATAAAAATAATTCAAACTCATTATTATTGCCGCAATAATAACGAAGAATTTGAATAGAATTTCTTAGGTATAGTTTTTTTTTAATAGGATGTAAGCAATATTTTTATTTATAAAACGAAATTCAATTCAGCTGGCGTAACTTAGTTAAATTTATTATTATTTTAAACTATAGAGATTTTTTAAAACATCCTTAGTTTAGTTCAATAAATTCAATAATTTCTAAATAATAAAATTTTTTTTTTCTAATAGTTAATTAATTAAAAGACTTAATGTCAAAGTTATTATGTTTAGTACGCCGTGGTAAGTAAATTATGCGTATATAATATATATACACATATTGTGTATATATTATATATAAATAAAATATATCATATTTCCATTAGTCATACATTTTCACATAAATAATAATATAAGTTATAATAATCAAATTAATTTAATAAAGAGTTAATAAAAGTGTTGCTGACATTTATTACATATGTTAATGAATATAACAAAAAAAAAAAGACTGTAAAAGGCCTAAAAAAATAATAATACGCCATAGTGCTTTCTCATTTATTTTTGTTCACTTATCAATATTTAAAAGCATATGTAAAAAATGGACGGTTGCATTTAAATAAGATTCAAACACACAAAACGACTTATATTTATTTTTCAACATCCACTGGAAACATTAGGGTAAATACAAATACTAACCAAAAATGATAAGGTTTAGAATTATGAATTTGAGTACATAATTTAAGGAGGAACAAAGAAAAATCTAGTGATTATTAAAAAAGTAAAATGTTAATTAAATTAATTAGATTAACAACGTTTTTACAAAGCTAATTGACAAAAGTAGATCTTTCATAAGTGTCTTTACCAGGAGACAAGTTGGAGGTTCATATATAAAGCCACCATACTCCTCCGGATAGACAATCAATGTGACTCCATCCCACCTAACAATGATAACCGTCAGTACTCGTTGCGTTTGATAAACCACCGACTCGAAAACACCTCAATGGTCGGGGTACCCAGTATTTTCGCCTAAGTGGACACGACTTGCTTTTACTTAAACAAAGGACACAATATTCTGACAACACAAATGTAAATTTTATTATAACGAAATACAATATTACACAAACTATAGTTAACTGGTTTGTATGCAACCTGGTTACTTCAAATTCCCCGTAGACCAAGACCAGACACGCTTCTCCACACCATAAACTCGTGGATGGGCATCCAAATCCACCTTTGATATTTAAGTGACGATCACGGAACTCTAGTTGTGGGCTTTCAAGTTGAGGCACTCACCGTCCGTCATAGGATCGTCCCAGCATAGGTGCCAAACACATACTCGCCGGACGCCACGACGCGCAACAATTTCGATCGCGTTTACCGGTTGTATACAAGTGGCGCTACAAATGATCGGCGGCCAAACAGCGTTCTTGATATTAGGAAGTATGACAATTAATCACTAAAATTTTTATATTAATAAATATGATTTAATATTTTATGTTCATAAAGAGATTGTCCTTGATAAAACGCGTAAACAGGGTGTGTGGTATTATAATACCAGAAACATAATATATTATTTTAGTTTAAGAAGTTTTACATGCTAATAATAAGAATAAGTACTAATAAATTATACAGTCATCTTGTAATTATCGTTTTCATTACTATGTATAACTATAAAAAGCAAAAATTGTATAGCACTGTTTAATCAAAGCGGAAAAATAACGGAGAGACTTAGGGCTGTTTAAATAACGTTGGAGACTAATGGGTTTAATTAATTATGTATACAATAGCTATGAGAAAAAGATAATTATGAAGTGTCCATGTTATGTGAGGTCCAATTAATATACTAGGAGATACTCGATGTTTCTCGAATCTTCTAGAAGAGAATATTACAGTATTAAGTTGGTTACTTAGGAGTTTAATTTTAAATCATTTATTAACTCAAACTTATAAAAAATAAAATAATAAGTTAACTTTTATTTAAAGTAAGCTAAATCTCCAATTTTATTTATTCGAGTTATTTGAAGTTTAAAATATAAATTTGGAAGTGGTCAAATTTATACTTGATGGCTTACTTAAGTCCATTTTACGGTATTAACAACTCGGTAAAAATAAGTAATACTAAATAAAAAAATTAATTGAAAATTTTTATTTCATATATTCAG